GGGTAGCTTGCAGGGCTCCCTTGTGCAGCAGGCACTCCGTAATTCGACTAACCTGTTTTTTCAAGAAACCATATTAAATGAATAAATAAAAGATTAAATAAATAAAATTAAAATCTTCAAGTAAGGCAGTGTATAGTCCAGCATGAGAGCTTTAGCTGTGCATAGCTTTCTACATAAGTGGTATATAGTCCAGTCAATATAGTGCTTGGCCCACCACTAATTGCCAATGAATGCACTGCATTGCATTTCAGTAAGGTCCCCCTAAACACCGTATTAAAAGTCTCAAGAAATCCCACTATGGGATATTTGTGAGAAAATATATTATATCAAATAGCTGTTGTCACACAAAAAAGGAATAGATAACATCACGATAATGCCATGAAACTGCATCTCGATGCTCGATTTAAATAATTCAGGTATTGAAACCAACTTTCCCGGGGTCATTTAACATGATAAGCACACTGTCACAATGGCATTTCATATAAAATTTGCATAATTTCCATATTTTGCACATTAGCATCAAATATAAAGGAAAATTGAGGGTAAATTATATTTTCCTCAAGGATATTGTATGTATGTAGGTATAAAGCAAAACAATCTAACTGTATTTAAAAGGAATTTGTAGCTTTGCAAAATGTGAGTAAATCCGTTCGAAAGGGACCGAATGGTGTAAGATAATATTGCTTTGAGTATAATTAATAACATCAATAAATGAGGTTCTGGAAGGAACATTTTGACCGAACTTACTGCAGATCATCCAATATGGTTGGGGTTACTATATACATGATGAGTATATTTCAGATTATTAGCATCTGCCATAGGGGAAGATTAAGGGAAATACTTTCCTCATAAAACATATAATATTTTTCATGGGCATTGAGAACACCTAAAATTTTCGTCAATTCTGACAACCGATGAAAATATGACATCACTCCCTATATCTGAAAGTTTGGAAGCAGCAAGACCAGACCCAAAAATCTAAACCGATCAATATTGCGAATGGGGAGCTAAGTGTGAAAAACTGGAGGTTTGTTTTGTGAATAGTTGAAAGGTCAGCGTGGTTAAAGAGCAAGGAGATAAACTATTTGCCCCACAGATGTTCTTTTGTCTCTAATTTGTTTCCCCGTATATTTTTGCTTCATATCGATTACTAGTATTTGTTGTGTTCTGTTGACGTAATTGCTCTACTTGATCTGAAAAACATCTTGTGTTTTTGCAGGTAAGGTGAAGGGCGGCGTAACCATACACACCACCCCTCCCCATCCAAATGTATTAGTTAAAAAATAAGAATTAGAAAAACTCTGAATTCAGATATTATGGTACTGCGTAAAAATGAATTTATGGACTTGTGTCATAGAGCTTGATAGTCAAATGTTGATGCATCGCTATATCAGCGATGTGTAAAACACGGTAGCATTTTCAACTCTCAAAAACGCTATTTTTAACGCATTTTACCCAAGGAAAAAGACTCACGAAGGAAGCATTAGCTGCAACCAAGTAATAAGGATTCTTTCATGGTTTTGAACAAGGCAAAACGCTATTCTGAACAACTGTCTTTTATAATTTCAAATTTCTTTCGAATGTTAAAAGCACTATTTTCCCACTTTCCTCCTCTATTCGGGGGAGCAATGTGGACAACGTCCTGATGAAACTTTGATACTAGGAAGCTCCGTAAGGGTATGAATAATTTAGTTGACAAAGGGACAAATAAATAGTTAATAAAGGTAGTTTTGTCTTGTAATGTTTGTTAAATAAGATTGCTGCTTACAACTGAAAGACTTGAGTTGTGTATTATCACTGAATCATGATTGAAACCTACAGAAAATCTTACCGCTCTTCATAAAGCTAGCCTAGACAACAATCACCGTTTTAGCCTTATTAATTTGTTAGTTAAAAAAAACCTAAAAACATATCTAAATATTAAAATATATACCAGGCATTTCAAGGGTAATTCGTACAAAGTATGAAGACTAAAAGGGACCATTATAAAAGCCTCTTGAGGCTTGACAAGGTTGACGGTTCCAAGAATTGGCAGGTAATAACACCATTATTTCGGCGGAGCAGAAAAGTAAGTTTAAAAAACACATGTTGGGAGTATTACGTTAGTCTGTAAATAAAACTGCTAATAATGATAATAATTGATAATTAGTTCAATTTAGATAGCGTAGCTACTATACAAATATACTCTACTATGTTGTGATGAAAACAGAACTCTTTACAGTGGTACTTTACAGACATACAATAAAATGATAACAATCTATTGATAAAATCATGTTCTAATGTCTTGATGAATCTTTTAATTTGCAATGTTTTGCATGCCTGCCCTTCTATCTGTCAATACCAAATCCAATCGAGGAATTTGTAGAGCGCCAACATCTGGTTGCCTAATAAAACGCGCCAATGAAACTGAAAAAACTACTGAATATCTGGTCATGATTCACCTTAAAAAGACGAGTAGTGAATATTAGGTGTAAACATGGCGTATTTATGTAGGTATAGGTATGTCTTTAGCTAGGCTTTCAAATTGGATAGCAAGGTCACAAGAGCGATGATACCGAAGAAGACTGTTCGACAACTTTGGTGCAGAAGACAGTGAATGATATATATCCCATATATATTGAATATGGGAATAAACAATCAAATAAAACCAATGAAGTCAAATTTGTAAAAACCTATATTGCAATTAAACTTGTCACATATAAATATATATTCCAAGATTCAGTTTACATGATTAAACCTAAAAGTGCAACACACCTGCATTGCTCCATTCATAATCACATTTCGTCTGTTGGTAGCAACCATCCATATTAGTCTATTTTGACTCGATTTAATTTGACTTGCTTTGATTACTTTGTTACATAGACGTTGCTATCTTCGCACATGAACTACACGATTATTACATGCTATATTCATTTTAAAGGGATCCGGTAACTTTGTCTCAGATTCTGAAGCAAAATCCTGGATTAAGCTCATGCTGCAATGATAATTATAAACCTTTAGGTCAGTCAGGAACCCTATAACTTTTATAAGCCGATCGCCTGTCTGATTATCAAGATATTTATGATTGGAATTACACATTTTGAAAACTGTTTGCCAAACGGTTTTCATAACACTACAATCAATTGGGGAAAACGAGTATGGTAAAACCGGTAACTCAAAGATTTTTACACCATATCGCAGACACTGATAACACGTAGGGCCGTACATCATAGATTTAACATTGTTAAACGATGCCTTTAATGTAATGGGTGATAATGAGAAAATGTTTGTAGTGATGAAGAGGAGTGAGTGTAATATAAAAAAAGAGAGAAAGAGAAGAAGAGAGAGAGACAGGGAGAGATGATGATAATAATATTAGTAATAATAATGATACAAAATAATAAAAATGATGATAATAGTAGTAGTTATGATAATAATGAAAATGATAATATGATAATAATAATAAAAATAATAATAATAATAGTATTAATAATACTAATGATGGTGATAACAATGATAGATACTTGTAACTACGTTTATATTGCTTATTCAATTGAATTATCCATCACAAGGGAAGCGCGAGGTGCCTACAAGTAAAGCCCAGCATTCAATGAATAATTCCAATCGAATACACCTGGGAAGAGAGTGGCAAAAGTAATTAATGATGATATTAGAGATAGAGATGAAAGAAGCATTGGTAGAAAAACCATTGAATATCGCTTGTTACAAGGCCTAGATTAGTTCATGTACAATCATGGAAGTTACATGACATGAGGGGAGTACGGGAAAGGTGTAAACAGCTTCTATGAATCCCAGTTTAGTAACATAATAGGTCTATTTGTATAGCGCAGCAACTATTATGAACTCTACTGCGCTATTACCCCGGCTGTAGCTGAGCTGCCATAATAAGGCGCTAAAGTATTCAAGCAATTTCTTCCTACCGGATACCCATTACTTCACCTGGGTGGAGAGTGGCAATACAGATTAATGTCTCGCCAAAGTACATTAGTGCCGCAGTGGGACTCGAACCGCGAACCATGTGAGCCCTAGTACGGAAGCAAATGGTCCTCAAGAAAAGACAGTCATAGGCAGTGTCATAAGCTACACGAGGGTATAGAGGCACACGCCCCATTCCACAGGCGTCGCTTGAGGACAGGGGGGGGGGGAGGGGTAACAGTCACCCATTTTTCGAAGTACCCCGGCCAAAGTTTCCCTCTTCACCACGGAGGACGGCCCTTTCCCTCTTAATTACTGCCCATTTCACTAAGTAATAATTTACTATTTCTCCACTTTATTAGTGCCCCCTTCCTCTTCTAATAAGTGCCCCTTTTCACATGTGCCCCTAATTTAAAGTGAATGAGACCAAATATGTTGTTTTCCAAAGCTCGCTCGCCCTACGGAAGCTAGCATTTAATTCATGTAATTATGTATCCTTAAAGGTATTAGCCGTTCCCCAACAGGAATATCTATTGTCTCTACACTAATCTGTCAAATATCGTTAAATGTTTGGACTCCTTCTACACCCTTCCTATAATCATCTACCTTGTTAACATTATTTTCATACACCAATTAAATAAGACTTGTCCCCATCTCCTTGATATCTGGGCCCCATCACTGTCTAGACACCACCAGGCCACTGGTCATAATTATATGCAAAATAATTTCAGATCAATTTCACTTGAGAAGTTTTGGATAGACCGGAGTTTTGAAAGTTGATTACATTTTCCTAATTTTCACGAATACATGGTGAAGGTGACGTCAGTGACTTTACCCCAGGGATGTGACCTCGAGACTCGAGAACTCCGGATCTTACCATAAAAGAATTGTTGTGCATTGACACTCGATTGTATGACCATCTGATGCCCCGTTACTTCCTGACAGCTGGTGATGTTAGTGTTAATACGCCAGCGTCCCAGTCCATCTGCGCATGCGCTGATGAGTGGCAGTGCGGCTTAGCGAACCAATGAAAAGACAGCATCACACTACAACGGAGGATTGATATGTCACGATCACTAACCTGTTTCTTCATTCAGGCTAGTTAACTCCAGTCGAAGACAACTTGTTTTTCTGTTCCTCTCATCTGGTTTTAGACTGAGTCAGATTTGCCGATTTCAGTATGCGTTGGTTCCTTTTACTAGGCCTCGTGTGCGTGGCCAAAGCCAACTTGATTGTTCCAGGCAAGTATCCACATCATTATTAATGATAGCTTCTATCAATTTCCTATAAATTGTTATTTCAATGTATTCTTATTTAACCAGTGTAACGTTTTAAAAACAGTTAAATAAATTTTGCAACAACTGAAATGTAATCTACAATACAATGTTGATTTGAAGGGCGTTGAAGGGATTTTCACTGTAAAAAGTCCATAATGTTGTAAAATCATAATTGAAAACTTTCCTAAGAGTATGGTGAAAAATATTCATTATTAGAAAAATAACAGTCATTTTTCTTTTCAAATTAGAATTTTGCAACTGACGGTGTTTGATTCACTCCATCTATTGTTAACGAAATTGAGGCTTCAATTTTCACTCATAGAGAGAAAACCACATAAGCCTATTTTTGGGGTCTGAGATTTCGCACATACTTTCAATTATTCTTCTTGCTACTACAAATACATTTTCAAGATAATTTTATGAAGGTTTGCTAATCCATGATAAAGGCTTTAACCAAGTTAACTGGCGATGATGTAATGTATAATGAAATGATGGTGAAGATTGGATGCCGTGGGTGGACTATAAAAAATATACATTCGAATTAAATCATCTTTGAATTTAACTCAGATATGTCGCATAGATTCCTATAGTTTTACTATGATAATACCACAGACGGGTTTAGGGGCCGTTTCCACCCCTTCCTTTTTATCCCTTTTTAATATATATATATATATTATAGATAAAGCTTACTAGGACTCAAATTTATGAGCGGAAAAGGAAGTATATATATATATTGGATATATATATATATATATATCATTGTAGTAATGGACTCCGTATCACTTTCTATTCATTTCCCCGTTCTTTATTTTCCCCCTAATATCTTGGCTTTCTCCCTCTCTCTCTCTGTCGTATTATCTCCACGCTCTCTCTTTATGTTTTCTTCTCACTTTACTGACTTGTTTATTTATGTCCTCTCCCTTGAGCTTCCGTTCTCCGTCTTCCTTTGGTTTCTTAATGACGTATCATTACACCATACTTCTTTCCTACGAGTCGTTTTTTACTTCCTGCCTTGTTATTTCTTTGAGACGTAATCATTCCTGTCCTTTCTCTCTTTGATCATTTTATGGGGATAGGGTGCTCATATTTTGACGCGTAACAATTTTGAAAGTCAAATCAAGTCATTATTATTTTGACGAAGCCCCAATTGGAAAACAAATTTCCCTTTACGGAGGATCATCAATAGTGTGTTTATATACAGTGCGTCCCAGAAAGAACGAAACCGAGAAGTATCGATGTTTTATCATAAATTAATCACATCCATAATTAATGATTGATACATATATCGAAAGCTTCGAGTCTCCTCTTTCAGCTGATGCTACTCACGTAATGCATATTCCACGCATGAGTGATTAAAAGCAATTTGAAGGAAGGAAACCAAAAAGTAATTTGGCGGGCGGTATCTGAATTTCAAAGAAAAATTCATATTTCTAGTAAGTTCATTTTCTACTCTTTCATATGATACCTCAATCAAGAAAAATGAGCCAGGAATAACAAAGTTCTGTTTGTTTAAAGTAGCCCTTACATTTTCATAATTTTAACAAACGAATTCGTTTTCACTAGGTGCCTGCCGTAGCAAAAAGCAGATTTGACAAAAGACTTAACTCCGTTTCGTTGACAATCAGCCATGCATGAAGACTCTCGTCTACGGCTGATTGTCAACGAAATGGAGTAAAGTCTTTTGTAAATTTCGTTTATTGATATGGCAGGCAGCCAGTGAAAACGAATTCGTTTAATCAAATTATGGAAATGCAAGCACTACTTTAAACAAACAGAACTTTGTCATTCCTCGCTCATTTTTCCTGATTGAGGTGTCATACGAAAGGGCAAAAACTCAACTTTCTAGAAATGTGAACTTTTCTTCGAAATTGAGATACCGCCCGCCAAATGTCTTTTTGGTTTCTTTCCTTCAAATTGCTTTTAATCACTCATGCGTGAAATATGCATCACGTGAGTAGCATCAACTGAAAGAGGAGACTCTAAGCTTTCCAGATATGTATCATTTATTAATTATAGTTGTGATTAAGTTATGATAGAACATCGATACTTCTCGGTTTCGTTTTTTCTGGGACGCACTGTATATATATATATAAACCATCCTCAAGCAGCTATTGTAATGATGTCCCCTAAAATCCTCCTAAGTTTCACTACAAAGTTATGTATGTTTTTGTCAGACGTACCATTTATACCTGTCACTTCTACATTTCACGACAAATGTTTCCATTGAAGGCATTCTAGCTCTCACATGGTAAAAGTACCTCTGACATAGTAGATTGATATTTATTTGTAAAGTGCAATAAATACACTGTTGGTCATAATGGTGGAATAATTATTTTTACCCCAATTTATTGAATGATTTATTCCGAATAGATCTAGATAATAGTTTACATTGTCAGATTTTATTGAATGACAATTGGTGAGTGTTTGTTTTGCGTGACTGCTAAAGCATGTGTGTGCTACTATGCTAATCAACTAGGGGACCTACGTCCTTAAGTTATAACTGACAGTAATGGGGATTAATGCCTCCAACCAGGGGGTACTATCCCTCCCCCTAACATCCTAATAACAAACCAACGCTATGATCTGGTCATAGTGTTGTAAGATGTATTGAAACAAACGTAGACGCCGCCCATCATAGGAAGGTAGACAGATACAAACCAGACCTGTCGTAAAAAATTATACAAACCTGCTATCTGCCTATTTTAAGAAATGTATCTGGTAGAATTGCAACTTTTCACTTTCATGGTTATGTCACTACTTTGTTTGTTTTTCCCTCTTTTGTTCTTTTTTCTAATTATTCATACTATGTTTAAAAGCATTCTGGCAGATATATCACTTGGCATCTTTGGTTGAACTTTGACCTGAAGAGAGTCTTACAACGCTGCCGTAAGAATCTGGAAGCTTTTTTCGTGACTACTTCTCTTACGATTTTATTCCCCTACTTGTAGAATATCGTGGTTTTACAATGTGAAGTGATTTTAAAGTCAATTATCATTATTTCTTCTAGCTTGCGAGGATCCAGGAGAAATCGACAATGGCAACAAGCAAGGAACCAGCTTCTTTATAGGCGACAAAGTGACGTACAGTTGTAATGCAAACTACCGGATGGACGGCAAAGCTGAATTGACCTGTTCCGAAGTCGCTAAATTGACATTCGAATTCCAACCAAAAAAGCCGTCATGCGAACGTAATATATCTTCCTCATTATCAAATTACAATTCAATTTGTTTACAAATGGTAAAAAAGCACCCATTTACCAAATAGTTGATTCTTTTTTAACCATCATGATTTAACGTGAACACCCATGTACTATTGTATCTATATTCTGTAATATTTAGACGGTATATAAAGATCAAAGACCCACTTGTAATAGAAATATACACCGTCATAAGTGGCCAACCTATGGTATTATTTCCCAATAAAATAATAGGAGGAAATAAATGCACTTTTGATCATTGATAAACTAATAAAATTTATACTCGTATCGAACTGACTTAAAAACGTAAACAGTTTTTCACACGCTAAACCCTCATAAACCATTATAATTCCAATCACCAAATAATCATACAATTTATTTTCATCAATTTCATCAACAACTTTGTCGAAACTATAAAGTAATATATGAATTTGTTGAAGGTATAGTGTATCCCTTTTGCAGCCAACATCAAATTATGTAGAACTTTGCAGGAATTATGATTTTTTTCACGAATGTCCTATTTGTGAAATTTAAACGTTAGCAGTGTCCTAATATTCAGATTATGCAAGGAAACCTGTTTACTTTCTAGACTTCACTGTCCGACACTATTGAGTGACTGACTGACTCCTTTTGTTCTTTAGTAATAACATACATAACATGGGCTGTAAAGGATACATGAGCATTATTTTGTCCACATCAATTACCCACTTCTTGTAATGGCCAAAGTTAAGCTGATTAAATCTTTGCATAGCACAATACGTACGTCCATTCGGTACAAGGGTCTGATAATCAGACTATTTGATTAAACGACTGCAGTCGCTATTTTTTTCTCGACAACTAACGGTCGTTATTTTCACACAAAAAGACATTTTCGAGCCCTTCTGTTTTGAGGGAAGTTCTGAATTAGTATTATCTTTCAAATGTCATTGGAATTTAACCTTAATCATTTTTTTGGCCTGCAAATGGGACATAGTACCATTACCTATTAAAGAAAGCGATACAATTCACTTCATATGAATTTGCGTACAGTAATTAACAACTAAATTATTCATTCTCTTATACCAAGATTTATAATCGAAGAAGTATGTACAAATTAATTTGTTTTTCTCAATTTATGTTTCTTGAGAATGTGACGTACTAAGCTTACATCCAGTAGTATTCAACAAAGGCCCTAATTTAACCAAATTTACAAGGGATATGAATGTACTCTCACGCGCCAAGTGTCCAGAAGGTTTGTAATGTAACATCAATAGCCAACTACTCTTATAGAAAGCAGAAAAAAAGAGAAGCAGAATAGCGAAATTAACAAAGTTTATGATGTCTCTGTACACGACAAACAGGAGAGTTGTCCGTGCATATGCCATTCTTTTTTTCTTTAAATTTTTTTTGCGCGCATTCAAATGAACTTATTACAAGAGATAAAAAGGGCTTATTTTGAACAAAATTTAAGGAAAAGACGTTTTGTACGTCTGTCATTTATATCATGTGAAAGACTAGGAGAATTTTGAAATGTTAAAATTCCCCGGCAAATTATAATGCACACAATTTTCCCTTTTGATTTTTTTTTTAAATATCAGAGATCGGTTTTGGGAAGGGTCTGAGATTTTAATCTACAAATCGTGATTATAATGCACACAATTTCTAAACATTAATAGATAAACACATCTTATGCATGTATATGAGGATGGGGGGGGGGGGGGGGTTGGGTGCACAAACAAATAAATAATGGAGTTATTATGCCCTCGGAAATGATACAATGCTCAGATATCATTTTGCAAGATATAAAAAGGATAAATCCTGGTGAGATTCGAGAACGTTTTGTATTTGAGTCCATGTAGGGTATAATGCCCTAAAACTGTGTGTCTTAAAAAGGTGCCAAACAGTGAGGGTAGATGTTTGCCTCCATCAAGAGGGGGGGGGGGGGGTTAAATAATGTTTGTCCCTTCACAATACCAACGGGCCCCATAGGAAGACAATAGAAAAATAACTCTGAAATAATTTGTTCATGTATAATGAATAATAGCCTTTATTTTGCTCTTAAACGCAAAGTTTCAACATTAAAAACTCAACATTCACTCGTTTAATCGATACACTCCCTCACACATGAAAGCATCATTTTTAGGCTTACATTCGAGGAGCCTTCATTTGCCGAGGCCCTGAAAGTGTGAGGATTTTATCAAGGCCCTTTTATCAAGTGGAAGAGGCCAACTCGTTTCGCCTCCTTTCATGCACAAGGTTTTTACTGTTCTGCAATAGATTTTCTACATTTCGGAAAGCAATATCAATATATATATAGGGGGAGGTGGGATAAGTCCAAGGAGTTAGGGAGGAGGAAAGGAAGGGGGATTTTTTTGGGGGAAATTGTGATTTAATAAAACAAAACAAAACTCATGATTTCAATTCTGTATAATGATACCATGGGAAATATGAAACTCATTTAAAAAAAAGTATTCAGTCTTATCCTGAAGAAAAGAGCAATGCTTGTTCTAGTTTTTTAGATGATATAACTGTGTAGTGCGATAATACTTTCCTATTATGTAATTGTGATATATTTTAGTTATTGTTCATTCTCATTGTACTGTGCTGTGTGTTTCCCATTCCTATTCATAGTACCATCGCGTTAATCGGATTATCTCAACATAAATTTGGCACGGGGGGATTTGTAGCTTGGCACTATGGGGATTAACCCTGTGGCATGATAAGTGTTAAAAATGAATTATGTTGTATTTATGTTGATTATATAATGATAAAAAAGCTTTGTTATAAGTATTTTGCAGTTTTGTATAAACTAGGACTATGGAGAAATATTTTGTTTCTATGTTGTGTACGATAAAAAATTGGAGTTTCAAGAAATAAAATCAATGAATACAAAAAGGTAAGTAAAGATAGATTTAGCAGAAGAGAGCGCTTTTGAAAATAAAGCTTGTTAATTCAGGCATGAAAACCATAGGGAAAATGTACAATCAAAAGTTTAATATATAAACAAAGTTTCAAAGCAATCCAAGTCTTAAAGAAAAAGTTATTAGGAAAACGGAATTTAGATGAGTGACCAGTCATTCATTTAAGCTTGTAAGGCAATGGGCTAAGATAAGGTTATAATATCCAATACAAACATCAGATAAAGGCAATATTTAATACAGATTATAATGATAAAGAAATTTGGCAGAAACAGGGCCTTATATCAGTAAGCCTGATAATTTATGTGTGAAATTCGTAGAATACATCGACAATCATTAGGAAAAGATATGAGCCAAGTTTCAGAACAATTCAAGCCTTGGTTCAAAAGTTATTGTTAAAAGGGGGGGGGGCGGTGGCGGCGGTCGTCCCAAAACGCCGGCCAAAAAAGAAAGAGAGAGAGAAAAAAATGAAGAGGACGTACGAAGAAAAAGGAGCAGACAAAGAAACATTTTTCAAAATTCAGACAAGGATTAAGAGTCGAGAACGGTACAACGAATCGTCTTCTCTGTTGCTCTAATAATTTAATGAAACGTCAAAGCTTCCGCGCCTCGCGCGGGAGGGGGAAAACTGAATTCAGACAAGGATTAAGAGACGAGAACGGGACAACAAATCTTCTTTCTCTAATAATTTAATGAAACGTCAAAGCTTCCGCGCTTCGCGAAGGAGGGGAGGGGGGAGCCCCCCTCCTTAGCTTCACCCCTTAAAATAAAATCATAGCCACGTGCCTGCCGTAATGCACATCTAGACATACATATCTATAAGCCTAAAAACAATTTGAAGGAGATTGATGACCAGGTCTGACGGGGCCAAAAAGCGAAGGCATATATTCGTATTTCATGCGTATGATACACGAGTGTTATCGCAGTTGGTTAAAGGAGACATGCAAACAGAATAGTTGGTTAACATTAAATGAAACCTAACCCCAATGCATAACTTTAGTTGTTCTGAGAGATTTATTGCATCCTTGCCCATCAATCTACAAGATTCTCCACCTAAGTGTATGAGAAAGGCATAAACCAAGTACAGTTTTTCAGCAAGACATGGGCATTGCCATTTTCTTGTTAGCATGACGCACTATATTATGCGAAGTCGTTTATCAAATAAATGTATTCAAATTTATGGATGCTTCCTTCCCAGGTGTTTGTGGTGTTGAAGCATTTCATTTTACTTGCGATTATCATTTGTACTACAATTGCTAGAACGCACAATCAGTTGGTGCTGTTCTAGGGTGAAGGTATCGCATAAATAGAATTGATTTTCAACCACTATATTTTAGTATTTTTAAACAAATTAGTTAAAATTGTTACCCTAATGTATATTTTTCACCAAATGTTATTTTTACCTTCCCGGCTAAACGGTTTCACAATGAAAAATAAATTATGTTTTTGAATTAAAAAGTCTTTCCAATTAAAGCTTGATGCATGATACATGTACAACTCCGCCAGCCTGTTACGTCACGTTTTCAAGAAAATGGCTGCGCTCATGTCATGCTAAAAGGCATTTCATCATGAAAAGATATCTTCATTTATATATCTCTTGTATACACGTTCGTAAGATTTATTGTACATCAAAAGGTAGGAATTCATCTTGTTTTTCAGAATACCTACACTTATTCTTTGGGGTTAGGTTTCCATTAAGGATTTATAAACTCTTCCAAAAACAGTTTGGAAACTCACATATATACCTAATTGATTATCATCGTTAAGTTTTGTATAAGTAAAAAGCGTGGTTATTCTTCTTGTTAGTCATAGAACTTGCTATACGTCAGTATAAGGGGCAATGTCAAATGGAAAATGTTGTAAAATGACTGCTCTTGTTCGGCTGTGCATTCTTCTATAAATTCTTTGAAGAGTGTAGGGCTGCTGTGTAGTACAGTCCTGTACAACCGAATACCAGTGCTTACCAGTGAATTTAGCAACTGTTCACTTTTGACCTTGCCCCTTTTCTGATGGACTGCTCATTCCATGGCTGCAAACCTTTTTGATGGGTTTACATCCTCACCGTGTAAGTAGGTAGTCATCTAGTGCTATTGTTAATTTTGTCTAGATCAAAATGAACTTTGACGAGAATCATGGCCATGTTGTAAATCACGTATATGATGTTCATTCAGTGGTAACACATTTATGTAGAAAGACCTTAAACAAAAATAACAAAATACTCAACTTAATAGTCTCCAGTGATTGTAAGATATTGGTAAATTTAGCCTAATTTATTGATTGTATTAACTCCAGTAGACTGTTGAAAGTGTTTGTTAAAGGTACTATATGTCCCATTTACAGGCCAAAAAATTACAAAGGTTAAATTCCAACGGCATTTGAAAGACAATACTAATTTAGAACTTCCTTAGAAACGAAAGGGCTTGAAAATGGCTTTAAGGGGGGAAATGATGACCATTAGATGTCGAACCGACTTAAGTGATTGCAATAACCTAAGTACACGTAAAAGTCTGATTTTCAAACCCTTTTACCGAATGGTCCTACGTTTTGTGCTGCACAAAGATTCACTCAGTTTAAGGTTGGCCATTACAAGTAGTAGGTTATTAATGTAGACAAATGCGCATGTACCTCCCAATAAACAAAATCACGTGAAAATCACGTCAATATCAAGGTATCGACTTGAGGAGAGTAACGTTCTTCAAACACCTGACATTTACGTAAATGTGTTAATACGTTTATTGCACTAGGTCACTTAAAACACACGTACACTAAATAACGCAATTGTCACTGCAATATCACCATTATAATAACGTGATTATCCCTACCTTGGAGACCATGGTTTGTAAACCTGATACTCCCGTTTTTGTTTGGTTAGGAAATTACATCTTCATAAACGAAATTATCACATTCTTTAGAAGTTTTAGAATCGCATCACAGAAACAAGTGAAGCGTTAGTGATAGTTTTAGTCAGAATATCTGCGTGAAATTCACGTGAATATTACGAGGCTGACTTGAGATGAATCATCTTCTTCATTCACGTGAAATTTACGTCGAAGAGGAAATATGTTACTGTAACCTGCGTTCAACCCAATAATTACGCAGATTTTACACAATAAATGAACCAAAATAATGACGTTCTCATCCCGTTTCTGAACATCGTGTTTTGGATCTTCCTTAATTACGTCCAGGCGCGCCGGAAGCAGTTTGGGATTAGAGGGGGTGTGTGTGTGTGGGGGGGGGGGGCGGCTGGGGGGGGGGTTGGGTGCAAACATCCCAGAAGAGAAAGCTAGTTGCAACTGGTCCAGTTGATGAACCAGTTAATGCCAACTGGTAACCCTGGCAATTGAAATAGGCTAAATGATCCAGTTGATCCAGGCCAGTTAGAATTCAACTGGTCTAGCTGAGCCATTAGAACCATTTGGTAAAACTTCCAACCAGTTGAACGGCAACAACACTGCAATACTGGTACGTCTGTATTCCCAATGTAAAGGCATTGGTAATAAGTAGACTTACATAATTTAATTAATCGAAATGTTTTCATATACTTATATTTTATTGCAATCATTTTAGTTCATAGTTAATGTTTTCCTTATTCATGTTTAATTAAATGTAATTTATACGAAGTAGCGAAATGTCCCCATTACTGGTAATTAATATTTGTAGTATTTTCGAAATGAATTGCATATAACTAAATCATCAGTAATTAAAAAATATGCTGTAAATTCAGATAAATTGTTTAAAAACATTGATCTGCACGCACCCCATATTCAATATGCAAATTATTTGGTGTCAGCTGGTTCAACTGGAAATATGCAAACAGTCAGTCATCAACTGGTGCAACTGGAAATATGCCAACAGTCAGTTATCAACTGGTGCAAATAGAAAAATGCAAACAGTCACGGGATTATCACCACGGAACTTAAATGGTAACTGTGAAACCATCAAGACACCCCAAAATAACTCATTGTTCACACCTAAATATCACGGATTCACAGCTTAGAGTAGTAATCAGTTTGAGTCACGAGATCATCACCACGGAACTTATGGTAACTTTGACCACCATTTAAAAGGGTGTTTTCAGACACCTAAGAATTACTAATTTTTCACACCTGGAAATCACGGATGCCCAGCTTATATTAATAATCCGTTTGAGTCACGAGATCATCACGGCGGAACTTATGGCAACTTAGACTACCATTTAAAAAGTTGTTTTAAGACACCTAATAATTACAAATTTTTCACACCTAAATACCACGAATTCACAGCTTAGAATAGTTAGTAATCAGTTTTAGCCACGTGATCATCACCAAGAACGTTATGGTAACTTTAAAACCATTTAAAAAGGTGTTTTAAGACACCTAATAATGACTAATTTTTCACACCTATAAAGCACGGATGCCCAGCTTAGATTAATAATCCGTTTGAGTCACGAGATCATTACCGCGGAACTTATGGCAACCTTGACTACCATTTAAAAAGGTGTTTTAAGGCACCTAATAATTACTAATTTTCACACCTAAATATCACGAGTTCACAGCTTAGATTAGTAATCAGCTTGAGCCACGTGATCATCACCAAGAAAGTTATGGTAACTTTGAAACCATTCAAAAGAGGTGTGTAAGACACCTCAAAATTACTTATTTAATACAACCAGAGATTCACGGACAGAACAATAAGACGATTAGCCGGTGTAAGTAACGTGATTATTACCATCAACCTTGGATAGCCTGTGAAACCAATCGATAAAGGTGCTTAAAAGACCAAATAATTACCTATTTATTACCACCATCGGTTAACGGAAAAAAAACTCGTTACTTGGTCAAGTGGTTATTTGGTCATAAACACTTGATTTACAGAGGTAAGTGGAATCACGTTACTCCAGTCGCGTGATAAAACTGTTGTTTTTAGGTTAGATGAAAACGTGAACAGGATTACCTTTTTTGTTTAAAAGAGAGCACGTGTCGATAATGTTTAAATCTAGTTCAAAAGTCACCATACTTTAAAATCACTTAAAATACACTCCCAAAAGAGGTTATTTTTTAGTGTTCTGTTTATTGGGCTGTAACAGCTCATTTTATGTTATTACCAAATAAAAAAGTCAGTCAGTCACTGATCAGAAGTCTCTGAGAGTTGAAGTCTAGAAGGTAAACAGGTTTCCATGCATAATTTGAATACTAGCACACTGCTAATGTTTAAATTTCACAGGTAGGACATACATGACATATTCATAATTCCAGCAAAGTTCTACAACATTTGATATTGGCTGCAAAAAGGAAATAGTATCTTTAAGAGAAAGCGGTTTTAAGAGCAGAGGCGTGATCGTTCAAAACAATTTATCTTTGGAGAGAAAACGTTGTTTTGTAAAATGACCATTAGAAAATTACGTCATGACAAATCAAATTTGTGTGTATGATGTGCATGCACACTACTAAATCATAATATTCCTGTTTTTCTTATTTACTCAATGTACATTGTAGTCTTATCATGTGGCGACGCACCTGTTGTAGAGAACGGAGTGGGAAAACCAAGCGCCACGCCCTCTGTTCCTGGTAGTACTGCATGGTATGATTGCGATGATGGCTACAGGAGGGATGGGCCAGGAGACATTAGCTGTCAAGATGACGAAACGTGGCAGACGGCACCAACATGTATCCGTAAGTAGCTTCTCTATTCCTACGATAAGATATGTAAAGCCATATTTACAACTGGCCGAGCATCTACGTGTCAATAATGTGTCCTTGCTATAACACAGTTGACAAAGCTAGACAGTACATCAATGTTGAAACTTTGTTATGTGGATGACACATTTGGCACCTCCTTTATTCTTTACTACCCCTAATGATGTAATCTGTCACAGTATTTTACTGAAACTGTTCGGTGCAGGGTATGCTATGATTTTCGTCTAAAAAGAAGGTCATAACCCGTAATTTTGTAAAGACAACCCAGCTGGTCTATTGTAAACCAAGATTCTGATATAGCAGCGATGTCAACACTGTTCAAAGAAGGAAATGTCTATATATTACAAAAGTCATCAGTAAAGATAGATTTAGCAGAAAAGGGCGCTTTTGAAGATAAAGTTTGTCAATTCAGGCATGAAAACCATAGGGAAAATGTACAAATCACAAGTTTAAGAAATGAGCACTGTTTCAGAGCATTCCAAGTCTTAAAGAAAAACTTATGATAAAAACGGTATATAGATGAGTGATCAGTCATTCAATAAAATAATAAGGCAATGGGCTAAGATTAGGTTAAGATCTAATAAGAAAATTAAGAGAAAGTCAAAGTTTGATACAATGATTGTAAGATATTTGTAAATTGAGCCTAATTTATTGATATTGAAAACTCCAGTAGACTGTTGAAAGTGCATGTTTAAGCTACTATGTCCCAAAATTCGCAAATTTGACCAGAAAACTGAATCGTATAACGAGTAGAATTGAAATGTGAAATGGAAAATCTTCTTTTAAAAGTATGGACAGAGGTAATCATTTTAAAAGTCAAACTGATTAATTACTTAAGTGCTACAGTTTATGCATACCTTGTCTTCACCCTCATTACGTACCGATGTTTCTTATCTACGCCTTTTCCCTCCCTCGTGCCAGCGCACCCTTAGATCAATATACACCTAGCTATAGGTGTATAATGTTCCCCATTGGAGTGTAGATTGTGCATTGTAAAGTGCAGAATCGGCATTGAATCCAGTGACCGGACTAATGATACTGTAAGCTCTTTGGTCGGCTAACTTGTAAAGTTAAACTTGTAACTTGTAAAGTACTTCATTACTATTGCTGTTAATATTATCGAATATACCAACATGATAGGATGATCAATTTATAACGTTACTGAAAGTTACAATTGAATGGGGTTTTTTTTTATACAGAAAAAACATGTGGCGACATCGATGTTGTAGTTAATGGAGCCTACGCGGCTGATACCATTCCTGCCACTCCCGGAACCCAGGCAACTCTTTCGTGTGATGCTGGATACGAAGCAGTTAACTCAAGCCCCATTGACTGTGAAGCAACTGACGGAGGTAATGGCGATCCATCATGGACAGGTGTAAGCTCTTGCCGATGTAAGTTCACATATTACTCCATGCCGAGTATCAATCTATTCATTACAACACGGAGTATGAGAAACAATCGGCCAAATTCAAACCTTCAAGTGCTTCCATGCACCCTAAGTTTTATTGCATATTCCCGACTTTATATATTGCTTGCTCCTCTTCCTTGCAATGATTTTACTAATGACCGGTCATTAGCATTTGGTAATGACCAGTCATTATCAAAATTACGTGTTAGGCAAAATAAATGCCTGGTCGCGTGAACGCTCTCAACCAATCATTTGATTAGGATCCGCTTCATCACCTTATAAATCGCTTTGTTTGGTATGAGTAGAAAATGTGTGTATTCCTCTTTAACATGATACCCATGTTATGATTTTTTAGTCATGGAACTTGCATTACATCAATATAAGGGGCAATGTCAAATGTGAAATGTCGTAAAATGACTGCTTTTGTTCGGCTGTGCATTCTTCTTTAAATTCTTTGAAGAGTGTAGGGCTGCTGTGTAGTACAGTCCTGTACAACCGAATACCAGTGCTTACCAGTGAATTTAGCAACTGTTCACTTTTGACCTTGCCCCTTTTCTGATGGACTGCTCATTCCATGGCTGCAAACCTTTTTGATGGGTTTACATCCTCACCGTGTAAGTAGGTAGTCATCTAGTGCTATTGTTAATTTTGTCTAGATCAAAATGAACTTTGACGAGAATCATGGCCATGTTGTAAATCACGTATATGATGTTCATTCAGTGGTAACACATTTATGTAGAAAGACCTTAAACAAAAATAACAAAATACTCAACTTAATAGTCTCCAGTGATTGTAAGATATTGGTAAATTTAGCCTAATTTATTGATTGTATTAACTCCAGTAGACTGTTGAAAGTGTTTGTTAAAGGTACTATATGTCCCATTTACAGGCCAAAAAATTACAAAGGTTAAATTCCAACGGCATTTGAAAGACAATACTAATTTAGAACTTCCTTAGAAACGAAAGGGCTTGAAAATGGCTTTAAGGGGGAAATGATGACCATTAGATGTCGAACCGACTTAAGTGATTGCAATAACCTAAGTACACGTAAAAGTCTGATTTTCAAACCCTTTTACCGAATGGTCCTACGTTTTGTGCTGCACAAAGATTCACTCAGTTTAAGGTTGGCCATTACAAGTAGTAGGTTATTAATGTAGACAAATGCGCATGTACTGTAACAGCTCATTTTATGTTATTACCAAATAAAAAAGTCAGTCAGTCACTGATCAGAAGTCTCTGAGAGTTGAAGTCTAGAAGGTAAACAGGTTTCCATGCATAATTTGAATACTAGCACACTGCTAATGTTTAAATTTCACAGGTAGGACATACATGACATATTCATAATTCCAGCAAAGTTCTACAACATTTGATATTGGCTGCAAAAAGGAAATAGTATCTTTAAGAGAAAGCGGTTTTAAGAGCAGAGGCGTGATCGTTCAAAACAATTTATCTTTGGAGAGAAAACGTTGTTTTGTAATATGACCATTAGAAAATTACGTCATGACAAATCAAATTTGTGTGTATGATGTGCATGCACACTACTAAATCATAATATTCCTGTTTTTCTTATTTACTCAATGTACATTGTAGTCTTATCATGTGGCGACGCACCTGTTGTAGAGAACGGAGTGGGAAAACCAAGCGCCACGCCCTCTGTTCCTGGTAGTACTGCATGGTATGATTGCGATGATGGCTACAGGAGGGATGGGCCAGGAGACATTAGCTGTCAAGATGACGAAACGTGGCAGACGGCACCAACATGTATCCGTAAGTAGCTTCTCTATTCCTACGATAAGATATGTAAAGCCATATTTACAACTGGCCGAGCATCTACGTGTCAATAATGTGTCCTTGCTATAACACAGTTGACAAAGCTAGACAGTACATCAATGTTGAAACTTTGTTATGTGGATGACACATTTGGCACCTCCTTTATTCTTTACTACCCCTAATGATGTAATCTGTCACAGTATTTTACTGAAACTGTTCGGTACAGGGTATGCTATGATTTTCGTCTGAAAAGAAGGTCATAGCCCGTAATTTTGTAAAGACAACCCAGCTGGTCTATTGTAAACCAAGATTCTGATATAGCAGCGATGTCAACACTGTTCAAAGAAGGAAATGTCTATATATTACAAAAGTCATCAGTAAAGATAGATTTAGCAGAAAAGGGCGCTTTTGAAGATAAAGTTTGTCAATTCAGGCATGAAAACCATAGGGAAAATGTACAAATCACAAGTTTAAGAAATGAGCACTGTTTCAGAGCATTCCAAGTCTTAAAGAAAAACTTATGATAAAAACGGTATATAGATGAGTGATCAGTCATTCAATAAAATAATAAGGCAATGGGCTAAGATTAGGTTAAGATCTAAAAAGAAAATTAAGAGAAAGTCAGAGTTTGATACAATGATTGTAAGATATTTGTAAATTGAGCCTAATTTATTGATATTGAAAACTCTAGTAGACTGTTGAAAGTGCTTGTTTAAGCTACTATGTCCCAAAATTTGCAAATTTGACCAGAAAACTGAATCGTATAACGAGTAGAATTGAAATGTGAAATGGAAAATCTTTTTTTTAAAGTATGGACAGAGGTAATCATTTTAAAAGTCAAACTGATTAATTACTTAAGTGCTTCAGTTTATGCATACCTTGTCTTCACCCTCATTACGTACCGATGTTTCTTATCTACGCCTTTTCCCTCCCTCGTGCCAGCGCACCCTTAGATCAATATACACCTAGCTATAGGTGTATAATGCTCCCCATTGGAGTGTAGATTGTGCATTGTAAAGTGCAGAATCGGCATTAAATCCAGTGACCGGACTAATGATACTGTAAGCTCTTTGGTCGGCTAACTTGTAAAGTTAAACTTGTAACTTGTAAAGTACTTCATTACTATTGCTGTTAATATTATCGAATATACCAACACGATAGGATGATCAATTTATAACGTTACTGAAAGTTACAATTGAATGTTTGTTTTTTTTATACAGAAAAAACATGTGGCGACATCGATGTTGTAGTTAATGGAGCCTACGCGGCTGATACCATTCCTGCCACTCCGGGAACCCAGGCAACTCTTTCGTGTGATGCTGGATACGAAGCAGTTGACTCAAGCCCCATTGACTGTGAAGCAACTGACGGAGGTGAAGGCGACCCATCATGGACAACTTTGAGTTCTTGCGAAGGTAAGTTGACATATTAATCCCTGCCGATTTATAGAGGCCAGTTTTGTTCTCACGATGTATGGCCTGTTTGGAGATGTTCAACCAGCGATATGAGAGTTTAAAAAAGTCCTGATCGATGTTTACTTTATGATTGCTTTCACTTGCTATTCAAGCTTAGACCAAAGTATGATATTGATATAAAGATATGAATATTCAAGTTACATAGTCAAACGGATTGATATACATTTTTGATTTGATTTGATTTTGTATACATTTCTGTTTTAATATGAATTTGTTTTTACATGTACAAAGTACATATGAATTCAATAATGACATAAAACAATGAAATAAGATTGTATAGAAGACAAAATAGAAATTTTGAAGAACTGAAAATGATAACGAAACACTGTTGATTCAAATGTCAACAGTGAAACTGACGGGCAGGCTATAAAAATTAATGCTTTAGGCCCATACAGAGTAGGAATTATAAAATCAAAATCCGGTGATTAGAGATTAGTATTAATAGGAAAATAATGTAGCAAATTTGACCAGAAAACCGCATCGTATTACGAGTGAAATTGACATTTGAAATGGAAAATCTTCTGAAAAAAGTTTGGATAGAGGTAATCATTTTAAACAGTCAAACTGATAAATGACATGAGTGATACAGTTTATGCATAACTTGTCATCACTATCATTACGTTCCGATGTTTCTTATCGTCGCCTGTCCCGTCGCTCGTGCATGCCAGCGCACTCTAAAAACGCCGAGCATTATACACCGAGCTATAGGTGTATAATTAATAATATAATTGGAGTGTAGATTGTAAAGTGCAGAATCGGCATTGAATCCAGTGACCGGACTAATGATACTGTAAGCTCTTTGGTCGGCTAACTTGTAAAGTACTTTAGAAGAAACATTCATTACTATTGCTGTTAATATTATCGAATATACCAACATGATAGGATGATCAATTTATAACGTTACTAAAAGTTACAATTGAATGGGTTTTTTTTAAACAGAAAAAACATGTGGCGACATCGGTGTTGTAGTTAATGGAGCCTACGCGGCTGATAACGATCCTGCCACTGCCGGAACCACAGCAACTCTCACATGTGAGCCTGGATACGAAGCAGCTGACTCAACCCCCATTGACTGTAAAGAAACTAACGGAGGTGAAGGCGACCCATCATGGACAACTTTGAGTTCTTGCGAAGGTAAGTTGACATATTAATCCCTGCCGATTTATAGAGGCCAGTTTTGTTCTCACGATGTATGGCCTGTTTGGAGATGTTCAACCAGCGATATGAGAGTTTAAAAAAGTCCTGATCGATGTTTACTTTATGATTGCTTTCACTTGCTATTCAAGCTTAGACCAAAGTATGATATTGATATAAAGATATGAATATTCAAGTTACATAGTCAAACGGATTGATATACATTTTTGATTTGATTTGATTTTGTATACATTTCTGTTTTAATATGAATTTGTTTTTACATGTACAAAGTACATATGAATTCAATAATGACATAAAACAATGAAATAAGATTGTATAGAAGACAAAATAGAAATTTTGAAGAACTGAAAATGATAACGAAACACTGTTGATTCAAATGTCAACAGTGAAACTGACGGGCAGGCTATAAAAATTAATGCTTTAGGCCCATACAGAGTAGGAATTATAAAATCAAAATCCGGTGATTAGAGATTAGTATTAATAGGAAAATAATGTAGCAAATTTGACCAGAAAACCGCATCGTATTACGAGTGAAATTGACATTTGAAATGGAAAATCTTCTGAAAAAAGTTTGGATAGAGGTAATCATTTTAAACAGTCAAACTGATAAATGACATGAGTGATACAGTTTATGCATAACTTGTCATCACTATCATTACGTTCCGATGTTTCTTATCGTCGCCTGTCCCGTCGCTCGTGCATGCCAGCGCACTCTAAAAACGCCGAGCATTATACACCGAGCTATAGGTGTATAATTAATAATATAATTGGAGTGTAGATTGTAAAGTGCAGAATCGGCATTGAATCCAGTGACCGGACTAATGATACTGTAAGCTCTTTGGTCGGCTAACTTGTAAAGTACTTTAGAAGAAACATTCATTACTATTGCTGTTAATATTATCGAATATACCAACATGATAGGATGATCAATTTATAACGTTACTAAAAGTTACAATTGAATGGGTTTTTTTTAAACAGAAAAAACATGTGGCGACATCGGTGTTGTAGTTAATGGAGCCTACGCGGCTGATAACGATCCTGCCACTGCCGGAACCACAGCAACTCTCACATGTGAGCCTGGATACGAAGCAGCTGACTCAACCCCCATTGACTGTAAAGAAACTAACGGAGGTGAAGGCGACCCATCATGGACAACTTTGAGTTCTTGCGAAGGTAAGTTGACATATTAATCCCTGCCGATTTATAGAGGCCAGTTTTGTTCTCACGATGTATGGCCTGTTTGGAGATGTTCAACCAGCGATATGAGAGTTTAAAAAAGTCCTGATCGATGTTTACTTTATGATTGCTTTCACTTGCTATTCAAGCTTAGACCAAAGTATGATATTGATATAAAGATATGAATATTCAAGTTACATAGTCAAACGGATTGATATACATTTTTGATTTGATTTGATTTTGTATACATTTCTGTTTTAATATGAATTTGTTTTTACATGTACAAAGTACATATGAATTCAATAATGACATAAAACAATGAAATAAGATTGTATAGAAGACAAAATAGAAATTTTGAAGAACTGAAAATGATAACGAAACACTGTTGATTCAAATGTCAACAGTGAAACTGACGGGCAGGCTATAAAAATTAATGCTTTAGGCCCATACAGAGTAGGAATTATAAAATCAAAATCCGGTGATTAGAGATTAGTATTAATAGGAAAATAATGTAGCAAATTTGACCAGAAAACCGCATCGTATTACGAGTGAAATTGACATTTGAAATGGAAAATCTTCTGAAAAAAGTTTGGATAGAGGTAATCATTTTAAACAGTCAAACTGATAAATGACATGAGTGATACAGTTTATGCATAACTTGTCATCACTATCATTACGTTCCGATGTTTCTTATCGTCGCCTGTTCCGTCGCTCGTGCATGCCAGCGCACTCTAAAAACGCCGAGCATTATACACCGAGCTATAGGTGTATAATTAATAATATAATTGGAGTGTAGATTGTAAAGTGCAGAATCGGCATTGAATCCAGTGACCGGACTAATGATACTGTAAGCTCTTTGGTCGGCTAACTTGTAAAGTACTTTAGAAGAAACATTCATTACTATTGCTGTTAATATTATCGAATATACCAACATGATAGGATGATCAATTTATAACGTTACTAAAAGTTACAATTGAATGGGTTTTTTTTAAACAGAAAAAACATGTGGCGACATCGGTGTTGTAGTTAATGGAGCCTACGCGGCTGATAACGATCCTGCCACTGCCGGAACCACAGCAACTCTCACATGTGAGCCTGGATACGAAGCAGCTGACTCAACCCCCATTGACTGTAAAGAAACTAACGGAGGTGAAGGCGACCCATCATGGACAACTTTGAGTTCTTGCGAAGGTAAGTTGACATATTAATCCCTGCCGATTTATAGAGGCCAGTTTTGTTCTCACGATGTATGGCCTGTTTGGAGATGTTCAACCAGCGATATGAGAGTTTAAAAAAGTCCTGATCGATGTTTACTTTATGATTGCTTTCACTTGCTATTCAAGCTTAGACCAAAGTATGATATTGATATAAAGATATGAATATTCAAGTTACATAGTCAAACGGATTGATATACATTTTTGATTTGATTTGATTTTGTATACATTTCTGTTTTAATATGAATTTGTTTTTACATGTACAAAGTACATATGAATTCAATAATGACATAAAACAATGAAATAAGATTGTATAGAAGACAAAATAGAAATTTTGAAGAACTGAAAATGATAACGAAACACTGTTGATTCAAATGTCAACAGTGAAACTGACGGGCAGGCTATAAAAATTAAAGCTTTAGGCCCATACAGAGTAGGAATTATAAAATCAAAATCCGGTGATTAGAGATTAGTATTAATAGGAAAATAATGTAGCAAATTTGACCAGAAAACCGCATCGTATTACGAGTGAAATTGACATTTGAAATGGAAAATCTTCTGAAAAAAGTTTGGATAGAGGTAATCATTTTAAACAGTCAAACTGATAAATGACATGAGTGATACAGTTTATGCATAACTTGTCATCACTATCATTACGTTCCGATGTTTCTTATCGTCGCCTGTTCCGTCGCTCGTGCATGCCAGCGCACTCTAAAAACGCCGAGCATTATACACCGAGCTATAGGTGTATAATTAATAATATAATTGGAGTGTAGATTGTAAAGTGCAGAATCGGCATTGAATCCAGTGACCGGACTAATGATACTGTAAGCTCTTTGGTCGGCTAACTTGTAAAGTACTTTAGAAGAAACATTCATTACTATTGCTGTTAATATTATCGAATATACCAACATGATAGGATGATCAATTTATAACGTTACTAAAAGTTACAATTGAATGGGTTTTTTTTAAACAGAAAAAACATGTGGCGACATCGGTGTTGTAGTTAATGGAGCCTACGCGGCTGATAACGATCCTGCCACTGCCGGAACCACAGCAACTCTCACATGTGAGCCTGGATACGAAGCAGCTGACTCAACCCCCATTGACTGTAAAGAAACTAACGGAGGTGAAGGCGACCCATCATGGACAACTTTGAGTTCTTGCGAAGGTAAGTTGACATATTAATCCCTGCCGATTTATAGAGGCCAGTTTTGTTCTCACGATGTATGGCCTGTTTGGAGATGTTCAACCAGCGATATGAGAGTTTAAAAAAGTCCTGATCGATGTTTACTTTATGATTGCTTTCACTTGCTATTCAAGCTTAGACCAAAGTATGATATTGATATAAAGATATGAATATTCAAGTTACATAGTCAAACGGATTGATATACATTTTTGATTTGATTTGATTTTGTATACATTTCTGTTTTAATATGAATTTGTTTTTACATGTACAAAGTACATATGAATTCAATAATGACATAAAACAATGAAATAAGATTGTATAGAAGACAAAATAGAAATTTTGAAGAACTGAAAATGATAACGAAACACTGTTGATTCAAATGTCAACAGTGAAACTGACGGGCAGGCTATAAAAATTAATGCTTTAGGCCCATACAGAGTAGGAATTATAAAATCAAAATCCGGTGATTAGAGATTAGTATTAATAGGAAAATAATGTAGCAAATTTGACCAGAAAACCGCATCGTATTACGAGTGAAATTGACATTTGAAATGGAAAATCTTCTGAAAAAAGTTTGGACAGAGGTAATCATTTTAAACAGTCAAACTGATAAATGACATGAGTGATACAGTTTATGCATAACTTGTCATCACTATCATTACGTTCCGATGTTTCTTATCGTCGCCTGTTCCGTCGCTCGTGCATGCCAGCGCACTCTAAAAACGCCGAGCATTATACACCGAGCTATAGGTGTATAATTAATAATATAATTGGAGTGTAGATTGTAAAGTGCAGAATCGGCATTGAATCCAGTGACCGGACTAATGATACTGTAAGCTCTTTGGTCGGCTAACTTGTAAAGTACTTTAGAAGAAACATTCATTACTATTGCTGTTAATATTATCGAATATACCAACATGATAGGATGATCAATTTATAACGTTACTAAAAGTTTCAATTGAATGGGTTTTTTTTAAACAGAAAAAACATGTGGCGACATCGGTGTTGTAGTTAATGGAGCCTACGCGGCTGATAACGATCCTGCCACTGCCGGAACCACAGCAACTCTCACATGTGAGCCTGGATACGAAGCAGTTGACTCAACCCCCATTGACTGTAAAGAAACTAACGGAGGTGAAGGCGACCCATCATGGACAACTTTGAGTTCTTGCGAAGGTAAGTTGACATATTAATCCCTGCCGATTTATAGAGGCCAGTTTTGTTCTCACGATGTATGGCCTGTTTGGAGATGTTCAACCAGCGATATGAGAGTTTAAAAAAGTCCTGATCGATGTTTACTTTATGATTGCTTTCACTTGCTATTCAAGCTTAGACCAAAGTATGATATTGATATAAAGATATGAATATTCAAGTTACATAGTCAAACGGATTGATATACATTTTTGATTTGATTTGATTTTGTATACATTTCTGTTTTAATATGAATTTGTTTTTACATGTACAAAGTACATATGAATTCAATAATGACATAAAACAATGAAATAAGATTGTATAGAAGACAAAATAGAAATTTTGAAGAACTGAAAATGATAACGAAACACTGTTGATTCAAATGTCAACAGTGAAACTGACGGGCAGGCTATAAAAATTAAAGCTTTAGGCCCATACAGAGTAGGAATTATAAAATCAAAATCCGGTGATTAGAGATTAGTATTAATAGGAAAATAATGTAGCAAATTTGACCAGAAAACCGCATCGTATTACGAGTGAAATTGACATTTGAAATGGAAAATCTTCTGAAAAAAGTTTGGATAGAGGTAATCATTTTAAACAGTCAAACTGATAAATGACATGAGTGATACAGTTTATGCATAACTTGTCATCACTATCATTACGTTCCGATGTTTCTTATCGTCGCCTGTTCCGTCGCTCGTGCATGCCAGCGCACTCTAAAAACGCCGAGCATTATACACCGAGCTATAGGTGTATAATTAATAATATAATTGGAGTTTACTTTATGATTGCTTTCACTTGCTATTCAAGCTTAGACCAAAGTATGATATTGATATAAAGATATTAATATTCAAGTAAAATAGTCAAACGGATTGATATACATTTTTGATTTGATTTGATTTGATTTGATTTGATTTGATTTTGTATACATTTCTGTTTCAAGATGAAGATATTTCAACATGTACAAAGTGCATACGAATTAATTAATGACATAAAATAATGAAATAAGATTGTATAAAAGACAAAATAGAAATATTGAAGAGCTGAAAAGGATAACGAAACACTGTTGATCCAAATGTATACAGTAAAACCGAGGAGCTTGCTAAAGAAGCAATGCTAATGTGGCGTAAACCCTAAAACTTAGTTCCATAATGATAGAAAGAAGTGGTCAAAATGGAAATACAAATATACGGTATGCCAATTACATGTATAATAACATAAGGAGAGAGATAGAGAGAGGGATAGAGAGAGAGAGAGGGGGGGGGGGGAGGGAGAGAGAGCGAGAGAATCACAGAGTGTGAGACTGGAACGTGAAGATCGGGGACAAGAGTGAATATGGGATCGTTATGCACGTGTTCAAAATACCAACCCCCCCCCCCCCCCCCCCCCCCAAAAAAAAAAAAAAAAAGTGACCTATTATTACGTTTGAAGTAGGTCGGTCCAGGAGATTCTTACATTTTTATGAGAGAAAAATAACGCGTTATTTTTGTTGTTAATAGCAATTAGTGATTATCATTACCTTGCCTAGTTACATTACATTGAATAATTATGTACAGTGTTTTTCTTGTGAAACATATCGGTAAAAATGGAGGAAGGTCATTTTTACCTGATTTTATACGCGAGTTGGCCTAGTTAAAAAAACAATAGGTATTCTTCACCTTGAAAGTTTGTATTTAAACAAAATGTATCCATATGAGATCTGTAGTTTACATGAAAAACAATCCTTAAGATTTTGTTCTGTAGCAGAAGTATCCTGCTTAAATGTGCTCGTCCCGCACAGCCCCATGCCAGTGTTCAATAATTTATATATGGTATATCAAGGTATGATATACAGTGAGGAGAGCAGAAGAAAGGAGGTATTAAAGTTTATTAATAGCTCCGGTGGTTCATGAGAAGGTTTTACATATATATTATGGTACTGCGGATTCCAAGATGTGACGGACCCCTAAGAATTGAGTTGTAGAAACATTTTGACGAACAGTATTATCGAATAAAATGTTATCTGGAAGACTAGTGATTCTGTTGCTAAACCGCATAGGCCTATAATTAGTTTTCTGCATGTAAAGTTTGTTTACCTTGATCCGATCTGTTGCTTCTGTAAATAGTCTAATAATACAATATAATTGCTTTGATGTAGCGCAAAATCCAATAAAATATAGCTCTAGGAGTCTATGTGATTTCCATGGTACTTAATGCTAAGAAGTGTGTTTGTATTAGACTGGGAGTGAGAGATGAAAAGGTTGGAGTCATCTGCAAAAAATATAAATGAAATAATACTCAAGGATTTTTGAATGCCCTTAAGTAAAGCCTCGGTCACAAATGCCTTTACGAACTGCTACGAACGCCGTATGAACGATTTTCAGACAATGGAAATTCGGGAAGACAATGGAAAAACAGGGAGATTCGTACGAAATGATCGTTCGTACGAACTTTTGTGACCGTAGCATAATTCAAAGAAGATGACCTGGGAAGCTCCACCGTTAACCGGAAGTGTAGAGGAATTACGATTTTCCTATTTTACAGATACAAATTGTGTTTTATTTTGAGATAATTCCTGAACCACTTAAAGGCCTTTCCTTATTATACCTTAGTGTGAGAGTTTATGAAAAAGAATTTCGTTTTTGATCAGTGCACTACTTGAATTTCTTACAAGTTCATGAGAGATACATATACGATGTGTATGGCATCGATAAGTAAAAAACAATTATGCGCCTTTTATTTACAGATAAAACATGCCCCGCCTTCGAAGCGCAAGAAGATATCACAATAAATCTTGCTGCTGGTGAAAATTACCGTGAGATCAACATTTTTGCGATGACAGCCACCGACGAGGGCAGTGGACTACGTGATGTTATCTGTACTCCTGAGCCTGGGACATACCCCGCAGGAGCAGGGCCGTGTGTTGTCTCGTGTACGGCTACAGATAACGCAGGCAATTCCTGCGATGGATCTTACACTATCAATCTTGTAAAAGGTAAACTAAAATACTATTCTTGAATTCTTATTTTTTTTCAAACAATAGATTGCAGGACCTATGTTACCATCAAAGCTGATGAAAAGCGACCCGTTAATAATACCCTAGTTATATTTAATTTCGAATCAGGTGATTTAAAAAGGAAAAGGAAATTAAATGTACAAAATTATTGAATTAAACTATACTCATTGACATCTTTCATGAATCTGGCCATGTAATTAAATGCAAGGGGAAAAATCAAGGTTGGGAGGGAGTTCCATAATCGACATGACCTTGGTATGTCAGCAAAGTGATTTGCGAGAGCTTATATCCTTTATCGATAATAATTTAAAGCCAACAAATCTCTTTTCACACCAACATATATAATCAAAATATCAAATAATTTATTCGCCACTGACTTTGCTCGTGCTTTTCATTCAGTATCAAGTTAGAACATTATTGAGGAGAAAAATGCAACACTATGTGATTGTGCTCAATATCATATATCACCCCAGCAAGTTTAAACATCTCAAGAAAGTTTGTGTAATGTAAGTGGGTTCAGAGAAATAATAGTTTTCAGGGCTGATAGTGCTGGTGACTGAATCGCCACTCGCTTCCTGGTCCAGATGTAGATATTGGTGGGACAGAATGAAACTTTATGTCCGACTTGAAAGGCTTAGCTAGATGCAATTGAATTCAATTCAATTTCGGTTTTATTTTTTAAAAATGGACATGGCAATAGCCCAGACTAAGAATTGTCATATTTAAAGTAAAGTACAAGATAACATGAAATAAGGTTATATATCTAACATTAAAATATAGTAGTTCAACAACAACTAAACGGAAGAACAGGTAACTATCATGGTGAATTCAATCGGATATATTTTTTAAAAGATTAGGGGAATATATAGTGGATGCTGGTAGTTTTCATGACAAAAGACAAACAAGTACATTTATAACAATTACAAATTAAAATACAGTGTAGATCTAGTTGATACATGGAATCATATATTTATCTCACCAGTTCAAAACAAGATTTCAGGAAACAAATTATTCCATGCACATGAAGGACTATGATGAACCTCCAGCCTCTGATGGGACATGATCATACATACAATAGAACATCCATCTTGGCTCACAATTCTCGCAAATCCACTCTAGAGGCCCCGTATTATATACAGGGGCGATTGACTAGGTACCACACAACTTGGATAACCAGCCCCCGGCCACCCACTCAGTGTTACTTAGGGTACACGTATGCTTGTTCCCTCCCTTTGAAAGCACCCCCTATCTCAGGGCTGCCAACATTTCTGACCCCCCCCCCCCCTTCGCGGGCTTTTCCTGCCTTGGAGACCCCCCCCCCCTCCCCCCTAAATCCGGAACACTGCTCAATGTAACCCCCTATCTATGATATTCAAGATATTTTATAACCCCCTTTTCAAATTGTCAGGAGTCCAAAGAGAGAGAGAGAGAGAGAGGGAGAGGGGGGGGGGGAGAAAACACCCCCTTTTTGAAGAAATCTTAGGGTGAAAAGTTAAATACGCCCCTCTTTAAAAAAAAAATTCTCGGGCCGGACTTTGTCGCGCGAAAAGTATCAATTCAATTCAATTCAACAAGGGTTTATTCACATGACGTTCTGGCAGCTGAAGCTGAATTGCAGGTCATTTACAATGTAAAATACATCATGATGGTTAAAATACAGCATTTTACATGTACACATCAAATAAAATTAATGACATATAAAAGGATAAATATACTAGATATATCCCGTCACTCATCCTCTCCAAGCGCTATATAGTTCTCCTTAGAACTAGAAGCTAAGATAACCAACAGTCCTTTTCAGGACTACAAAACCCTCAAGAAAGATTACCGAGAGTCCTTTTCAGGACTCCTCAAACCTCCCTCTCTCTCACATGGTGCACCCGCAAGCCTATTGTATAGATACATTCATACGCATAATAAGCAGCATCATTAAACATAAAAATATACAAAATGCATGAAGCTTACTTTTTTGAATAATAATCATTTAGTGAGATGCAAACAAAACAGGGAATAGAGCTATTTTTAAATCGAATGGTTTTACAAATAAATTTAGAATATTTCTGTACACTTCGTTAATTAAAATTAACAATTCTTTGACTTAATAGCCATATAGAACAAAATTCATGCTTTTCTACGTTAATAGCGAAATTAAAATAAAGTTTATTCCTACGTTCTTCCAACGTTAACAAATTCCACAATTCTAGAGCATGATTATATGTTTCATAATTAAGTCCCAAAATAATTCTACATGCCCGTGTTTGTATTCGTTCAATATTATCTATTTGTTAACGGCTTTACGCGTTAGGTTGGAATGAAAAAGTGGTGCACAATACTCTAATATTGGTCTTATGTATCCAGTATAAACAATAACGAGATCACTAATAGGCAAATTAAAACGTTTCAAGGTACGTAACATATATAACTTTCTATTGCACTTCTCTAACGTTTCCTTTACTTGAGTATCCCATTTTAAATCACATTGAATATAAACTTTAAGAACTTTGATTATATTTTCTCCATTTAAAAGTGTCTAATCAATATACAACAGTTGGTGAGTTAGATTTTTCATAAAAGAGACCGTTATAGCAATGCATTTAGTTGGGGTTAGTTTTATATTACTGAGTAATAAAGACCCCTTTACCGGAGATTTTGGGAATACGAATGCGGTCCCTCCGACCCCGGAGTGGGATGGGGAGGGGGGGGGGGGGAACCCGCCTTGTGAAATGCCTTCATTTGAAGAAAAATAAACGCTATAACAGCTAGCGCTTCAACTAGCAAAGGTGACCGTGAGAAATATCTGGAACTCAAGAATCACCAGCAAACAAGCCTACAATAGGTACATGAAAGACATTGTCAGCTCACCTGTAACCCAAAGCGTTTCTGGAGTTTTATACATTTTTTATATATTCTTCAGGTGTGGCTTCATTGAAACCGCGTGATGAATTAACTTACTCGTTCAGCCTCTTAATGCCGAACATCCGAGTTGACAGTGAAGACATGACCGACAAACGGTCAGATTAACACTCACACCACGAATCACATACTATCTCTCCATTAGGGGTTTCGAAAAATTCTGTCCGAGCTTGGAGTTCATAAAGCCACTATGGCCCTGACCATTTCAATGCCTGACTTCTGAAGGGATATTCCGCTGAATTGGCACCTGTGTCCACTGCATTCTTCCAAGTCCCCTCAATCAGGGAGTTATACTAGGTGTGTGGAAGATGCCAATGTTGCTCCCATCTTTGCCGAAAAGGGACCGTAGTATGCCGACATTGGCCCGATGCTCCTTTTCCGCTTCATCGACGATTTACCAGAGTATCTCTCACCAAATGCAACCGTAGGCTCTTCACTGATGATTGCAAGCTTTACAGCAACATCAAAGCAAGATGCCCTACATCTCCAGGGGGGTATTATACAAAGATTCCAAGTCGAACCTAACTCTAAGTTGGACTTAAATATTATGGAGAGCCTTTTGTAGCTTTATAATGAAATATATTACAAATTTAAAAAAAAGCAAGTATTTTAGACTTTTCATAAATTCCACAGTAAGAACATGAAATCTCTCATGATAATAGAAAATATGAATGATTTAAATCAACATTTTATGCTTTTTTAAATAACGCTTACCAAATATTTTCAAGGATGCTAATGGCTTTCCATAATTGTTAAGTCCAACTTAGAGATAAGTTCAATTTAGGATCTTTGTGAAACACCCCCCTGGAGGATCTTGAATCGCTGCAAAGCTAGGGGCGTGATTGGCTGAAGGAGTTCAATCCACTGATATGCCGGGTTCCCCAGGTTACCAAGAAACGCAAACCCATCATCAAATCCTGCTCCATCTACGTACAGATCATAGATGACAAAAAAATACATCAACGTTTTAGTAGTTGAGTTGCACAAGACCAAATACAACTGGAACCAACACGTCATCATTTTTACCGAAAAAGCCAACTCCCAGTCGTGCCTTTCTTCAGAAGAATGTTCGACCATGTCCTAGGAAGATTACAATTTCAATGTTTTACTTTGTTTCAATTTTTCATTTGCGAACATTGACTAGATCATCACATGTTTGTATGTTTTTTCCTCAATTGTAGCCGCGGTCAAGTCATGTGGGGTTCCACCTCAAGTTGATAATGGAAAGGTAAAGGCAAGCGCTGAACCCTCTATTGCTGGAAGTACTACTGCATGGTATGATTGCAATGACGGCTACAAGTTGGAAGGACTAAATGACATTGAATGTCAAGATGATGCAACATGGCAGGAGGCACCAGAATGCATCGGTAAGTAGCTTTATCTCTATTCCTACTATAATATAGTTTTTGGATTGATTGAGAACGATCAGTAAATACAAAGTACTACGAAAAAGGGCAAAATTCGAATTAGTAATAATTCTGATTAGTAATGATATTAAATGTTTATAAAGCGCTTAATACAAATGTCTCTAAGCGCTTTACACATATACTATTACCTTGGTCAATGCTTGCCCGCACACAATGTTTGTACAATCTCCACTCCCTGGGGAGCATTCCAGCCAGGCGTTACATGACGCTCAAAACTGTTTGACCAACAATGACGGTCGCATCCTACCGGGTACCCATTTAACACCTGGGTGGAGAGTAAGCAAGTGCAGGTTAATATCATGCCAAAGGATATTAGTGCCGTGTCGGGATTCGAACCCTCGACCTTCGCATCTCCAAGTCAAGCGCCTTAAACCACTCGACCATGACACTCCCACGACACACCAATAATCATGACATTCATATTTCGAGATGTAAATTGGAAAGGATATCTTGAGTGCTGGAGTTAGATGGGGATAGACTACACACGTAGAATAAAAACTCTGCAGACACATTTATAATCCCTAACAGTCGCATGTGGCTGACGGGAAATCACTCAAGTGATGTGTATTCCACGAATGTAAGCATTTAAATAGGTAAAAGGGGCGGGCAGATGATACGCCCTCTCGTGTTCATCCTGTGTCTTTATAGATCACAATAATTATAGCCAGTTTTGACACTCTTTACAGAGAATTTGTGCTTGGACTCGGTGGGGTTTAGTGATAGGAGAGCAGTTATTTTTAACCTACCAGAATTATCATTTGAGATGAAGCCATTACGAAATGAAAGGAGGAATAGAAACTTAAAGGGATAGTTGAGTTCTGTTGCAGAGGGCGCTACACAATTTTTTTGTTTTTTTGTGAGATACTGAAAAACTGAGCGTCAAATTTGAAAGAACATAATATTTAAATGACAAAATCATCTTTGAACAAAATCGGTTCAGAGACGGCTGAAATATAACGATTTCTAATACTTGTGTACCACCACAAATATTAGATATTTTGAAAAATTTGAAAAAACCGGTAAAAAAAACGAAATAACGCCTTTTTACGTCGTATTTCAGCCAATGCCGATGTTGGCTTTTTTGTTGGCATTTTCGTGTTGCTTATATTACCCACAATTAGCTGGCTCATGTTTTGTTATTTTTAATTAAATAATTAATCAACGGTCACCATGTTTTTTTGAAAGTGGAGCTGAATTGGTAAGATCGTATTGGCTAATTTCACATATTTTGGAGTCTAAAATTACCTTCATAGCAATTTTAAGTTCTAAAAGGGTACTATAAATGTGATAGATAAGAATAAGAGCAATAACCATGAACTTTGAAGGCATTTGCGGTCGGAAAACAGAACTCAACTAACCCTTTAAAACCTACAATGACCTCAAGCCTCAAGACTGGAAGAGAGAATTCATGTATGGAATTTTATTTTCCTTATATTTTACTTCCCCTTACCGAGCAAACTGGACGTGTAATAAAGTTTATCCTGAGCAACATTTTTGATAAAGTTTCAAAATGAAACAAAAAAATTTAAAATGTTGTCAATTTGTCCACCTAGTTTAATATACTTTCCATCATCAAACAGAACCGTACATTGCATAATCCTGAAAAACAGTGGAACCTTCCTTTAAAAGTGAGGCAATCCATGAGCCATTGATGTTAATTGCATTTTTGAAAACAATTCACTATCAGAAGGTCTTCTTTTTTTTAACCAATACTTTTGACCTGATAAAAGTTATGATTTTTACGTAACTAAATGCGTTTTTATATTACGGAACTGGTGACAAAGCGTCCCTTTTTCAGAATGGGTGAGACATCGCCCCGTTAGGGCACTTTATAGAGAAAAGAGGATCTACAACATCGGGGCAATGCCATCGAAAATGTTCGCTAGCCAAAAATTAAAAAAATGGCAATGGGTGGTATTCTCATAAGTTAAGCTGGGACTAAGTCCAGACTAAACAATAATTTTAGTTCACACTTCTATGGAATGCTAGGTTTCATCTTCCTCCTTCAATATTCATGACAAAGATAATCTACCAAAGACTTTGTTGAAATTCAGGTCATACTCATATTATCTTTTTCTTCCCATTTCATTGCAAAATTTATTTTTTGGACACTTTTCATTGAGGGATTAAAATAATCTGTACAGGGTAAATTAGTTTGCAACAGGCACTCCATAAAAGTGTGAACTAACTAAGTACGCGCTAACTTAGTACGCGCTACCGGAATACCACCCAATGGGTGGTATTCTCATAAGTTAAGCCGGGACTAAGTCCAGACTAAACAAGAATTTTAGTTCACACTTCTATGGAATGCTAGGTTTCATCTTCCTCCTTCAATATTCATGACAAAGATAATCTACCAAAAACTTTTTTGAAATTCAGTTCATACTCATATTATGTTTTTCTTCCCATTTAATTGCAAAATTAATTTTTTGAACACTTTTCATTGAAGGATTAAAATAATCTTTACAGGGTAAATTAGTTTGCAACAGGCACTCCATAGAAGTATGAACTAACTAAGTACGCGCTAACTTAGTACGCGCTACCGGAATACCACCCAATAACTCTAGGATTATGTGTTCCAATGCGGCAAGTTAAGTACCACATACAAGAGCTCAACAAATGTTTTACTTTTAGTGGTTTATCAGTAGAAATAAAATATACCGAGGCACGACATTTTTTTGAGGGCAAAATTGTGTAAGAATTATATTCAAAACACATAATCTTTGGCTATTATTATTGCAAACGACAATTACTTTAGATTCGATTCGTTGGTAATAAGTTCTGAGGATTACTGATTAGAGTTTCCATAATACATACCGAACGTGTTAAAAGCAAAACTATATAGGGGTGGTATTCTCGAAAGCGGACTAACTTTCGTCCATGGTTTAATCCACCGACTAAGTATGGAATGCCAAGTGTCCTTATTATAGTCTCTAAATTACTATGATAACATAATTATGTAGTGGTACGCTCATTTGGGCTAAAGGGGGCGCTAGAGCCATAGAAGAGCCGGGAACGGGTAAACAACCCCTGGTTTTGAATTCTTGCATTAGATTAAAGTGTTCATTTCAATAAGCACGTTGGAAATGAATTCCTGCATCAAGATGTACAGGTGTTCATTTCCAATAACACGTTAGACAATAGACTGTTTTGCCGGGGACGCGACATTCTCGCGAAGATATAGACTCCTCCCATATTTGTCGGTGACTAGTTCAGATGACACTCATCTATTATGCTTTGTCATTGGTTATAATTAATTAAAGGTATAACTCCTCTCTTAATTCTCGCTACCCCAAATAGCGATTCTGCCGAGATCCGGGGAAAATCCTGAAAACGCGCATTGCATTATGGGATAGCTTTTCGACATTACAGCTTCCTGTGCAGGCGCTATATTACTAGGCGCGATAGCGCAAACGTAAAACGCCGTCGCCACACAACGTGTATGCACCGAATATGTCGTCTGCTCGGTCTTGTTTTTTTTTCGCAAATATTTCAACGTTTATTTGAACATTTCATTCGTTGTTTTTTGCGTCTTTTGACATCAGTGACGATGGTTTTCTTTTGTGAGGCTGCACAGTGCTGGGCTCACGATTTTAGCGTGCGTGAAAACTCTGCACAGCGAACACAGGCGCTAGCGCCAGCGGGATGGGACTCTATACCGGAAGTTGTAGTGACGACCCGAGAGAGTGAAAATTACCTCGTCTCGCGAATTTCGAGATTTTCGTACCTATTTAGGGTAGCGAGAATTGGTCGGATGACCTAAGGGTAATTTGATATATCCCGTCTTGTAATTGGTTGGCTTCGTAAGAGTCCTCCTGGTTGGCTGGCAATATCATGTAATATCTAAGCCTCATCGGGTGCCGCGGTATTTAAATGCCAGGTGCGGGATTTTGAAGTCAGTTTTTAGTTGATATTATTTGAGAGTATATTATTTGATAGTAGATATTATTTGAGAGTTTATTTCATTCCGTTATCATGTTTAGGATGTGCTGCTAGTTTACTGTCAATATGGCTGCCCAGCCTCTGAGAGAAGCAGCTTATTTACAATGTTTATATAATAATAATAATACTCTTCGTTTGCAACGATTGGAACTTCGGCTGACTTATATATTTAATAAAGTGGACTTTAACTGTAATTCCGAGCTTCTTGTGTTTTCTTTTATATTCGAACTTGTCATCTTCAACTCATTAACTGGCCCACCACAATTATATCATAGTTATATACTTTTTTTTTTTTATTGATTATGTTATTACATTTTATTTTAATTTAGTGACAGGTGAAATTATTCAAAAACATATTCATATGGACACTTGGCATTCCATAATTAGTCGGTCGATTAAACCATGGACTAAAGTTAGTCCGCTTTTGAGAATACCACCCTAGGGGCATATAAGAAGCAGACAACGGAGTCATGTCTGTTACGTTTGATCTGTCATGTCCGGCCGTTACGCTACATTTATCAGCTTTTACGAGCAAATGTATAACACGATTGTTCTACAACGTAAATCTATGTTAAGCGTGTGATTATAAGCTTTTCTTACCTAAATAAGATCTTTACCCCCCCCCCCCACCCATTTTGTGTCATGTCCGCTACGGTCACAAAGAGTCATTCTTTGTCTTCAAATGTTGTTGTCCAATGATCCTATTTGTTTTGAGTATAATCAATAACATTTGAATTAAATTAAATTGAGTTGAATTAAATTGAATCAAATATTCAGTGCAATACTGTGAATGTTGCTATACATGTGATTGATAGTTAAGTGTGTCTAAATCACAGACTGGAATATATGTGTTTAGGTCTCTCAACTTTGTTTAAAAGTGTCTTAAATAACTAAAAAGGATTCTGAATGTCATGTTTGTTACGCTGGAATTGCCTTTGAATTGAGCTGAGGTTTTCAGACCCCTATATATACATTAACATCTTTATACGACTTAATTTTTTTTTAATATAAAAGTAAACAAGTGATAATAGGTGTATTGCCATGTTTTGGACACGATAAGCTGGTAGTCTTAGCTATTTGCAAACGAGCAAAGCGAGAGAGTTAGATAGGAGAATGGAGGTGACAGCACTATTGCATTCTGTCTCCGTTAATAAAGCTCTATCGGGATTATTGGATTTTGTTAGTAAATAAGTAACTAAAGTCGTGTTGTATTTTTTCTGCCACCAAGCTATTAAAGGCAATACAAAGTTTTTGTATTGGGTCATGAATTTGGTTCAAATAAATATATAAGAAGCATATGCAAGTTTACAACAGTCAATGATCGTTGTAGCGGTTCAAATCGAGTCTAAAGTAATGAAATTGTAAATAATAAACATGTTATGTTGTGTAGCTCACTATAGCTTTACAAAAAAGTTTCTTGACTACAATACACCGATTTGCTATTCCCGTTTGGAAAATAATATATCAGAACTGCATATTCTGAGATTGTCATGGTCGCAGCTACTAAGGAATGGCCTTAGGCGCTATTTGAGATTTTTGAAATTTACCGAGAGCACCGGTAAATTTTTGATTATTCAATTTCTCGAAAGCAGAAGTGTTTTAGGAATACGTTTTCTAGTGCTAATAATACATTTACAGGGGCATCCAAATATATCAATATTTTAAAGAATTACTATCCATCCAATTTTCAGAATTTCCCAAAACTTTGCATTACCTTTCATCAAACTGATCAAATTTATGATATTTTGAATAAGAATACCATATAAAGGGACCATAGTGTCGTTGCTATACATTTTAATTTCTTGTTTACTTCCTGTAGCCTACAAGTATTGATCCAGTATTGATGGATTATCATTGATGAATGTGAATTTTGATCTTCTCATCACATAGCTGTAGCTGAGTGTCCCCTGGGATTTATCAGGGACGGACCATCAGGCAGATGTTTCAAGCTGGTAACTGACCAATCCTTCTTCGACGCTGCTTGCAAGGTAAAATCTCATTACAGCTCAAGATTCCACTATAGCAAGCAATATATTTATTTATTTATTTTCAGTTTAAAGATATTATGTCCCTTTTGCAGCCATCATCAATTTCTATAGAATTATGAATATGTCATGTATATGTCCTATCTGTGAAATTTAAACGTTTAGCAGTGTCCTGATATTCAAATTATGCAAGGAAACCCGTTTACTAGCTAAACTGCACTGTCAGACACTAGTGAGTGACTGACTGGCTTTTTTTCTTCTTGTTTTGTAATAATAATAACATACATACAATGAGCTATAAAGGGTACATGAGCATTTGCCTACATCAATAACCAACTTCTTGTAATGGCCAAAATTAAACTAATTGAATGTTTGCGCAGCACAAAACGTACGACCATTCGGTACAATGGTCTGGAAATCAGACTATTACTTACTGTATTGCTATCACTTAATAAGTCGATTCGACAACTAATAGTCATTATTTGCCCACTCAAAGACATTTTCAAGCTCCCTTTTTTTGATAGAAAAGTTTTAAATTAGTATTATCTTTCAAATGCCGTTGTAAAAAACCTTTTCATTTTGTTTGGCCTGCAAATGGGGGGGGGGGGTAACCTTTTCCACAGCACTGTATCGGCAAAGCAAGATGATAAGGAAAAGAAGACAAGCCTTTGTATGTTACACACACTCACATTATAGTTTGTCATTTTAGTAACGTTTCATTTCTATCTTTGATCTAGATTGCTCATTCTAATTCAGTTCCAAATTGGCTTTAAAACATATTTTGTAGGGTAATTTTCATTCATGTGGTCCATTCAATATACGGTTTCATGTTTTAAATGATGAAAGAGTGGAAAATGACCAATATGAGAAAGAAAAGGTGATTCATTGAGACCTTCGGAAAACTCTATTTGTGACGTCATTATACTATATTTATAACCTTTTTTTAAAATTTTACCTTATCCTTGTAGAGATGCAAGGCCGAAGGCGGGTTCCTAGCCCTGGCTTCAACCACGGAACAGGCTCAAGAAGTGACAGCATTCCTCTCAGCTCAACAGAGATCTGCCAATCATTGGATCAACCTTAACCAACTCTGTGGTTCGTGGCAGACAACTGAATTCGCCGAGTAAGTAAAGCAGCCTCTTCCTCTCACTTAACAACCAAAATCAGATAACAGAATAGGCGCTCCTGGGGGGGGGGGGGGGGGGTAAAGGGTCACAACGCCCCTACTACTAAAGTACCCCTAACGTGCCCCATTTTACTTTCGATAAGAGCCTTTGAGAAGTGCCCCTTATCACCTCTGAGAAGCGCACCTATTACATCTGACAATTACCCCTTTAATTTACTTTGACAGGTTCTCCTTTCTAGTAAATATCTCTCCCCTTCTGAAAAGTGCCCTTTGCTACTAAGCCGTGTCTTCTTTTTCTAATGTGATGAGTATCCCTATTAAAATGCTAAGAATGCCCCATTCCAAATATGACAAGTTCCCCCTTTCGCTTTGGATAAGTGTCTCTTTTCATTCAAATAAGTATTCCTTTTCACCCATATTTTCCATAATTGCTTACAAATTCCTTTTTTGGTCATATAAAGAGCCATATCTGCCTACAAAGAATCTGAACACCTTGGTGTATTAATAGGCACCTTATTGCTACCAGCACAAATGTAAGGCGCTCGAGCCGCGGGGATGCACGAGTGCAGATGCACATGTAAGGTCAAATACCAACTGATGGAATTCAAATCAATAATTGATTGTTAACAGAGCAACTGAAATCGATGCCTGATATGTATTTTGCTCCAATTCAAGACCAGAGGGGTGTTTCACAAAGACTAAGATCGACTTTAAGTTGGACTTAACTATGGCAGGCAATTCATGCCACTAGTTCCTATTACCATTCCTGGCATTGGTTTATCAAGGGACGTACAAATCATGGTCACGAAACTACAGAATTTACCTTTTTTGATAGTTCATTATTCAAGTTAAAAATATTATCTACAGATCAAAGATCATAATTGAGAGACCAATGGTGAGAGCAACCAGTGGCATGAATGGCCTGCCATGGTTAAGTCCAACTTAAAGTCGATCTTAATCTTTGTGAAACACTCCCAAGTTCAACGTCATTTTTGCGCAATTCGGTTTCCGCGAGTTTGTTTATTATTAGCCAAAACTCACTCAAGCAAATCATACTGTCAACACTGTTAGTGCCATGGATTGAATAGACCCTTTGCCATAATTTCATTATCATGCAAATGTCGTGAAATTATCAATTTAGGCATATTTTCAAAGTTAATGAGTCAATAACGGATGTTACTGATTGATCATGATTTTATCTTATTCAGACAAACATGAATTTAATTGGTTGTGTTATTTATTAAGCAGAAGAATAGTAGTGGCTACATAAAAGAAACACCAATCAACACTAAATCGTTTAGGTGAATATGGTATGCTCAATGCCTGGAAGCGTTTCGCAAATAATACCACTAAGATCATGATTAACATCTCCACTCCTTGGAGGAGAGAATTCCCGCCAGGGCCTGTCTAATACTAAACGGGAGTTCAAGTAGCTTCATAGTGCAGCACATTCGTGAGAAAATGATAGTTTAGCCATTTGCATGTGGTGGATCAAAACTTTGGAACGCTCTCCCAGTGTCGCTACGCTCAATGACTGACGTTGAAGTTTTTTAAATGAGCGCTGAAAACTCACCTTTTTGATGAATGCTTCGAGTAATTATTATGTAAACGTACATTGTACATTGTAAAGCGCCTTGAGAGGGCCATCGGTCCTGAGATGTGCTATAAAAGAGCGAACTATTATTATTATTATTTTTGTTCATGTGCATGCATGGTAGTAGGTTATAACCTGCAAGGTATCCCCTTCGCTATAGGCGTGGAAGAATGGCACACTTGGTTTGAAGGGTCCATGCAATGTAGGCCAAAGTTTACAAGTCGGCTCGGTGTAATAATCAGGACCCTTGTTTCATAAAACTTGCTATCAACGATAAGTAACAATAACTGTTATAAGCTACTGAAATAATGGCATCAGTCCTTGCTTCATACAAATTGCTATCAATAATTAGTTACGATAACTGTTATAAGCTACTGAAATAATGGCATCAGTCCTTGCTTCATACAAATTGCTATCAATAATTAGAAACGATAACTGTTATAAGCTACTGAAATAATGGCATCAGTCCTTGCTTCATACAAATTGCTATCAATAATAAGTAACGATAACTGTTATAAGCTACTGAAATAGTGGTATTTGATCGGCTGAGAGCGGATTTGCAGAAATTTAAATTTGTTATTGATAACAAGTTTTATGAATCAGGGTCAGATACGCTGCCAATCCTTCTAACTTATTTTGAAATGCATAAAAGCGATTCTGTTTACATTACAATTCACATGATTTACACCATTAGCTGCGATATTAATAATCATGTATTGAAATATAGAAATCACTGATGTACGCTTGAGCTCTGATAGTAACGTGAATGCTGGTATCTTTACAGAGCCAGCTCTTCAATTACCTGGCGCAACAACAACAACGCTGATTGTGCTGCTTCCAACAGGAGTGGATTGGCACAAATCTGCTGCTGGAAGAGACTTCCAGCTGTTTGCGAAGCTTCATAGGTAACAGAAACTTATTTCTTGTTTTCTTCTAGTATTTGTATTATTTTTAATATTTCAAATAGCTGTTATATGAGTTTTATTCAACGATATAATACTTTCATGTCATCATCCATTTTTCTCTTTTCTATTATGTTTAAACGGTCTTACCTTTAAATTGAATATAATTTTGTATAATTGTGCGGTGTCACTTGGTATGACTATTGTATTTCATTCCGGAATGTAATTACCTACAATGTATAGTTTTATCAAATGCAAAAACCAACAAAAATTATTCAAAGAGGTCATATTGAATTAGATGTCAATTCACTGCCTGTCATTATGAATAGGCATTACACATTTACATCTTCAAATTTGGCATTTGGTTGAATACAGTTATACGTGTATAAAATGAACCAACATTCACAAACCCTCTTAGGGAAGAATAAAATACCAAACAATTACATTTCATGTTTATCTACATGCCTACAGGCTTACATATAGTAATTTTTTTTGTTTGTTTGTTTGTTTGTTGTTGTTGTTTTTGTGTGTGTTTTTTTTTGGGGGGGGGGGATTTCGGTGTTCTGTAAGCCAACTATATTTTGTTGAGATAGTATACATGTATACACAATATAGTATATTTGATTTTATAACATGATGACGTGGATCCGAATAAAATGATTGGTTCAAAGCGTACACTTGACCAGGCATTTATTTTACCATACGCGTAATTTGGATAATGACTGGTCATTATCAAAATCATGTTATAAAACATCATTTTATAAAACGAATAATACACATCATTTTGTTCGGTCTTTAGTAAAATTACCCACACTCGGTACCTTTGAAACAGTCCAAACACCCTCGGATATCACCTCGGGCGTGTTAGACTGTTCCAAAGGTACCTCGTGTGAGTAGGTTTTGTAAAATGCTTGTATTGTAAATATACAAAACAAAGCAATTTGTGATAATTATTGCTTTGTAGGTTTACGCTCTACTGTGGTTTAATTTAGTGTGTAAGACACAAAGACACAGTTATAGAAACTATGAATGCAGGATGAACGATAGCAAACATCCTTTGATCCTCTGATCCTCTTCTTTTCTTACATACAATCAGTCTGCTATACGTAATATCAAATCCTTTTGTATTTTCTCTGTCATGTTACATATCAACTTTTTTCCCATATACAATTAAAATTCGTTACTGTTTTGGTTTATAATTAAATTACGTATCTTTTATGATATATATCAATACCAGGATATCTGTATTTGCTATACCATGTATGCATATCTATGCATATTAAGTTACGTAAAGTTGTATTTATAATGTGAGCAAAGGAAATTTCCATTGAACAATACAAAAATGAAACTGAAATTGATATTCACACTGAATATAACATTTGCAATCGTAACAGTGTTGAAGGCAAATCAAAGACAAAGAGAAAAAAATGACTTTTCTTCTCATTACAGATACCATCTACTGGAGGTTGCTGTGCATTACCTGTATTGGTCCCACTTCTGATTCAACAAATTATCAATCTTTAATAGATGCATCATAAGAAATAAACCACAATTATGAATTGTCTTCCTCATCATGAATGTATAAGGTACTCTACCAGATGAATAGTTTTCAAAACTTGTATCTCTTAATCCCTAAAACACAAGAGCGTCATGAAGCTCGATATTGTAGTGGTTCTGACAGTGGTTTTCAATACCACCTCGAACGTATGTTTCACTCTCCTGAGTTGTCTAGTATAACTATTTCAATTTTAACAATCCAGCACATGTACAGCAACAATTACACTTGCATTCCAGGACAAGATACGTCTTGAATTATCTTCTTTTCAACTGGAAAACCTTGCTAAATCTTATGAAACATTTATGTCTAGAGGATTCCATGCATTGTTTACCAGCCTTTATCTTCATTAATGTAATCACTCTTAACTATTAACAAATCTTTTGGACATTGACATGCCACTACGTGTATTAATTTGTCAAAAGATAATTGGTTCTTTGGGAGACTCTACTTTATTTCAAATTAAAGCTGCTGCTATTAACTCTTAACTAACTTAACTTGTATCTATCATAATGGTATTGTTTAATCTTTCTTTACATGTTAATGTAATCACTCTTAACTAAAAAAAAAATCTTTTGGAAATTGACATGCCACTACATGTATTAATTTGTCAAAATTTAATTGGTTCTTTGGGGAACTCTACTTTATTTCAAATTAAAGCTGCTGCTATTAACTCTCAACTCAGTTAACTTGTATCTATCATAATGGTATTGTTTAATCTTTCTTTACATGTTAATGTAATCACTCTTAACTTAAAAAAATCTTTTAGAAATTGACATGCCACTACATGTATGAATTTGTCAAAAGATAATTGGTACTTTGGGGGACTCTACTTGATTTCAAATTAAAGCTGCTGCTATTAACTCTCAACTCAGTTAACTTGTATCTATCGTAATGGTATTGTTAATCTTTCTTTACATGTTAAGCATTGGAATATATGCCGACGTCAAAACAAGGAATCTTCTTAATTTAATTTATGAAGTCTATTATTAATTGCGGATAATATAAAAGATTAACATAATTTTTCTTTTTGTTCAATTAATTCATTACTAGAAAGTGTCAATGATTCACAAGAATAGGCATGAGGGGGGGGGGGGGGGGTAATTGTTTCATCTTAATTATTCTTCTAAAAGGAAATATAAAATATTATTCTGTTCTTAGTGTATTTCATTTTTCAACTGCATTAAATGCATTTCTTTATTTTCGGAAAAAGTAGTTTTCAATCGCATTTTGTCGTATTCAATGAGTTGAGAACAAAAGAGAGCGTATATCAGACTGTACACGACAGGGACTGGAAATCATTCACAGTGGTGTATCGAGGGATTATAACGCCCGGGGCAAGTGATAAACTTGAACCCCCCCCCCCCTCCCTCCGTCAAAACTTATCAGCTGAAGAAAACAAACTATAATAATTCCCACTTTGTATTCAGAAATTATGGAACTATGTTACAATGACATCTTGTTAATGTATTTAAAAATCGAGTGGTAGTTACATGTTTGATAATAACTTTTCAATCGAGGTAGCAAGAAAACAGAGTGTTTGGTTTTGTTCGTATTTTCAACTCCCCTCAAACTCAACTTCTCATTCATAATACACTTCAGAGAAACGCGCAGGAAATTAGAATGCGATTATGATTTAAAGTTTCTTTAAAAAATTGACAAATGTTATTTATTCGAGTTACTATTCGAGAAATTTCAAAAGTTGGACTTAAAGTCTGATTAGAGAGAGTTTTCTGAAGGTTTAACCTCGAACTGAAATGTTTCGTTTGGTTTTATTGATGCACTTTAGGCTCCACAAAAGAGCAAAATTGAACAAAATCCAAATTAATCTTTTTATGCACGGGAAGCTGAGCAGCCAAGCTAAAAAGATATTTTTTTACATTTCAATCCTTTAAAAACACCTTTTTTGGTGCAATTAAACCTAACTGAGGGAGCATAGTTCCCTTTCCCTGTTTCCCCCTCCGCCCCCCCCCCCACACATTTCAATATTAATTAACAATTTATTTTTGAAGTACGACTGATGAAAGAGGGAGAGAGAGAAAGAGAGCAGGAGAGAGAGAGAGAGAGAAAGAGAAAAGGAGAGAGAGAGAGGGAGAGAAAGAGAGAAGGAGAGAGAGAGAAAGAGAAAAGGAAAGAGAGAGAGAGGAAGAAAGAAAAAAAGGAGAGAGAGAGAAAGAGAAAAGGAGATAGAGAGAGAGAGAAAAAAAAGAGAGAGAAAAAGAGAGAGAGAGAGAGAGAAAGAAAGAGAGAGAGAGAGAAGGAGAGAGAGACCCAGGTGAGGAAGGGAGTGAAAAGGGAGGGATAGATAGAGAGGATATGTAGAGAGAGAAAAAAAACGGGGAAGAGAATGAGAGATAGACGAGGAAGTTGGAAAATAAAGATAGAGAGAGAGAGAGAAGGGAGGGGGTGAGACCAAAAATATAAGGATATATATAGAGATAGATCAAACATTTTGGACAGAGAGAGAGAGAGGCTAGGGTGGGGGTAGAAGGGAAGACAGAGATGATAGATATGAGACATATATACGTGGCGATTCACGATATAAGACTAAGAGACAGAGATAGATGATATTACTTATCATCTGTTTAATGTTCAAAATTGGACTTAAAGTCGGATTAGAGAGTGTTTTCTGAAGGTAAACCTCAAACTGAAATGTTTCGTTTGGTTTTATTGATGCACTTTAGGCTCCACAAAAGAGCAAAATTTAACAAGATCCAAATTAATCTTTTTATGCTCGGGAAGCTGAGCAACCAAGCTAAAGAGATAATTTTATGAATTTCAATCCTTCAAAAACGTTTTTTGGTGCAATTAAACCTAACTGAGGGTGCATATTATCGTTGAAAGTTTCCTTTCCCCGTTTCCCCCTCCGCCCCCCCCCAAAAAAAATACGACTGATGAAAGAGGGAAAGAGAAAAAGAGAGAAGGAGAGAGAGAGAGGGAGAAAAGAGAAGGAGAGAGAGAGACCCAGGTGAGGGAGGGAATGAGAAAGGAGGGGTAGAGAGAGAGAGAGAGAGAGAAAAAAAAGGGGGAAGAGAATGAGAGATAGACGAGGAAGATGGAAAATAAAGGTAGAGAGAAAGAGAAGGGGAGACAGAGATGGTAGATGGGAGACATAATATAATAGGTGATTCATGATATAAGATTAAGAGACAGAGATAGATGATATCAATTCTCATCTGTTTAATGTATTTTAAGCGTCTTAAAAAAAGTTAACAAAACAATCTTCAAAACTGAATATTCTCAAGCCGATGATACAAATAAATGCCAATGAGCGTTCAATATTTCCAGAGATGCATCCACATTTTATTTCAAATTGCTTTCATTTCATGATACATGTAGTTTGAACAAAAGAACCTTAATTCGCAAAGGGTGGTTAGCCCCTAATGCAGGGCTCCCACTTAGCCGAGTTGGAGCCTCGAGTTGTGGCGAGCTGGCTCGATCTTATGGCAAGCCGTTTTATCATTAAAACATATTTCTTGATATCAAGAAATCAATTCTTGATATCAAAAAGTAATTTTACGTTGTAAAGCAATGGTAATTCGTGATAACAAGAATTCGATTTCGTGATCTCAAGAAATATGTTGTAATGATAAAACTGCTTGCCACAACATCGAGCCAGTTCGCCACAACTCGTTGCTCCAACTCGGCTAAGTGGGAGCCCCTAAGGACATCACACAAGCAAGCAAGCTTATGGTAGGAAAGAAATCGCGGGTTCAGCCTTCATCATATAATTTTTTCATTATTGTTCTTTAATTATTTTACTTATGTGTTGATATAATCCGTTCTAATACTGAATTTTGTCCCAGTAACATGTAGTTTCACTGCTAAGGAAAGGGATAGATGGGTATCCAAAACAGACTGGAAAACTGTTGAAACTATTTTGTCTTAAATTTACACAATCCACTACGAAAGTTAGTCAATGTAAACTGTCTTGACACAATTAAAAGCCTTTGGCTTGGATGGCCGCCGCGTGTGTCTGTTACACTTCCTTACGTCATGCACAGGAGCGTTGCTGGAAGGGGGAGGAGGTTAACACCCCCTCTCAATACGCCACCTCTGTCAGCAAAAGGTGGGGGGGGGGGGGGGAGAGAAAAGGACGAAAGAAGAAGGAAAAAGGGAAAAAGGAGAAGGGAGAGGAAGAAAAATAGAATGAATAAGGAAAAGAATAGGCAAGGGGTTAGGCCAATTAAAAAACTTACGAGTTTCTCGTCCCCGCCCGCCTCCGTTTTCCCATTCAGAAGAAGAAGGAAAAAAAGGCTGTGATGTACATTTTTAAATAGCTAATTCAAGCTGAACACATGAACATTTTCACCGTTTCTGAATTTCGAAACTTGCTTAGCAAGTGGACTAAAATGATACAAATCATTTGTTTTGTGATACATTGCATAAGTATACTCAAATAGCACAATATATGTGAACAAATAATATACCTTGGCAGCCATGTTTAGCATGGCAGCCATCTTGGAAATAAATGGCAAAAAAATGAAAAATAGTAAATAGTAAAGCGCTGTCTCTTTGTAAAGAGTCCGGACGAGAAACTGGTCATTTTTTTTAAAACTTCAGTTGGCCTTATAGGAAACAAGAGGAAAGAAGAAAATACAAAGTAGCCAAGAAAGAAAGATATAGGATCGAAAGGAATATGAAAGAAAATTGAAAGGAAAGAAGAATGTGGATATGAGATAAAAGAGAGAAGTTTAAAAAATGAAAAACTTAGAAGAATGATGAAAGAAAAGGGAAAGGAAATGAAACGGGGGGGGGGGGGGGGAAGCAACCGAATAGAGAAGAAAAAAATCAAGAGGGAGGAAAGGGGAAAAATAGAAAGAGATATGAGAATAATGAGGAACAACGACGCAAAAGTAAGATTACTACTAAAAAGTTGATCTGCAAGATTAAGACAGCACGTAGTTCAACGCCGAGAAAACAAAGCAAAAAAAGAGAAGAGAAGATATCGTATATAGGGATTGTTCAAACAAGTTCGGAGAAGATATAAGCTTTATTTTATACATACGAGCCTCTTTTCCCAGATAATAAAATCAGGTATTTGATCACCTTTCGTTGACCGAGTTTAATATTGCTGGCATATTGCTTTTCCTCTGTACAATATTACGTCACTCCGCAGATGGAAAATAAGGCCAAAAAAAAATGATTTGGTTGGCTTCGATTGCTTTTCCGGAGTAGTTTTTAAATATTTTTTTTTAAACAAATATTTTTCCATAAAAAAACAAAAAATAATTGGGATGTCAAGCATTTAAACAAACGAAGTCAATAAAACACTTTAATGTGGTAAAAGACTAGTTAAATGTCCAATGAATATCAAGACCAACTCAGAAAGTTTTTTTTTTTTGCTTTGAAATACAGCACCTTTTAAATCCCAACTGTACTACTTGTGCCCTCTATATAGCAAACAATGCCTAATCGGTGACCATTGGTCCCCCATGATCCTCTTTATCTTATGTTAACTGCATGAGAGCTGATATGATGAGATAACCACCTGTCCAGTGACCTTGCAGGATGGTCTAATCCCTCCTGTAAACTAGTACAGATGGGCTTTATAAGGAGTTAAAGAATGCTCAGAACCTGATTTGAATGAACAGAATTTTGACATAGAAAAATAAAAATAAAAGTTTAATAAAGACAAAATTGCTTACTGAAAAGACCAAATTGGCAACGGGACGGATTTTGATCCTTGCAATTTGCATAAAATGGTATGTTTGGCGTTTAAGATTGTATATCATTTTTAATCTTATTATTTGATTTGTGTCTAATAAGACTTTCACTTTTCACCACGATGAATTCAAAATGGTGGGTGTGGTGTTAATTGAGCCGACGTGTGTGTGGTTATAGTTTAGCCAGTATTTGCTAGTGTGTTTGTGTATGTGTTTGTC